GAAAATTCTTCGTTGAGCGGTGTGGTCATTTAAGTGAGGCATCCCTTAAACAGGCATTTTACCACCTTTTTTTGCCATGGTTATTAAGTGAATCATTGTGGTTGTTCAGCGAGACATCACATGACCGCTTGTGAGCGTGCCTGCTGGCTTCCCCATTGACTTTTGCTCGTCAGAAGCCAGCTAGGAAGGTGACAAATAAGGATCACATGACCCAGGGATGTTGCAATGCTGATAAATGGAAGCCAGTTGCCAGGCACCCAGATTGTACTTAGGTGACCGCCTGGAATGAGGTAATTGGTTGTAATTGTGAGGACTGATCATAAGTCATTTTTTTCAACACCATTGTAAACTTAAACAGTTGCTAGAGAAATGGTTGTAAGTTGAAGACTACTTGTAACTTAGGCCAGAGTTCTCCAACCTTGGCAACTTTAAGACTTGTGGACTTCAACTCCCAGGATTCCTCAGCCAGCTGGCTGAGGAATTCTGGGAGTTGAAGTCCACAAGTCTTAAAGTTGCCAAGGTTGGAGACCTCTGACTTAGGCTATCCCTGACAGCAATCTTTCACTTGGCTTGGTCTCCAGCTTCTAAACTTCCCAGTCTAGGAGGGGAGGGATTGATTGAGAATTATTGGATTGGGACTGATTGGGGTAACAAAGCAATTGAGGTAAGTGGAATGGTAACGGGGGAGAGAAGAATGTACACAAAGTAGCCTAGGAAATAACATCTAGCCGGTTTAACTTGAAATAGGAATCCACCTGGAGGAGCATTAAATCTTGTGTCTTCAAATGCAGCCCCATGGACTGATTCCAGGATGCACTGCCCCCCCCCCCTCCCCCCAATCCTTATTTATTTGAACTCAGGACCCCATTGATCCTAGGCCTTATAGATTTCCAGTGGTCAAAAGCAATGGCAGGACAGAGAATTTATAGTATTGGAAAGAGGCACTGTAGCCAATGAAGTTAATCCAACTGTCCATTGCAAGAAACCAAATGAAAGCAATCTGGATATCCAGCATAGAGTTTACCGATACTTTTGATCGTTGGTTCCAGATGATCATTGCTCTTGACATAAGGAAGGCTTTCTTATTATTGAAGAAGAATATGCTTTTGCATAACTTTTAAGACCATTGTTTTGTGTCCTGGTACCGTAGGTAAATAGAAACGAGGTTAGATGTCTTCTTTTGCTTGAATAACTTCTGCTCTAGAAGTTTTGGGTGCCTATATAGATTTCTGATGTGCTCCAGGAGTGAAGTGGAGTAAATACCTTATCCCATACATGTCACTAGACAATTGAATTTTTTTTATAGATAGAGAAATGGATATATTTAAAAAGGATCCAACCTTCCTCTTTACAATATATAATCAAACTGGTATTTTATTAAAGGAAAGTACAGTATATTTTCTTTCTTTTGAAATAATAATGAAAGCTTGCGCTTACTGCTGGAACATGGGTATTTTTGTAGGAAGAAATCAAGTCATGTTGCACTTCCAAAGTTTTAGAGGAGAATTCTGATTTTGGTGGAGATGCTACAGTATTTTTTTATTAGAACAAAAGACACCCCTCTTTATCCTTTCCCCATGCATTTATAATTGATAGTCTCCTCTGCTGAGATACTGGCTACAGGAAGAGGGAAAAATAATATATGTAGGAAATAAAATTCTTACCAAGAACCCCCACCTCTGCCAGAATGCCATGATTTTTAAAGGTTTATAATCCCAGAACATCTATGGCGATTGCTAATGGAAAAGTGATGAAAACGGTTTTTCAGACGCATTTATTTTACATGATTATGTACACATGTTTATTATGCTCTAGTGAACCCTCTGCTTTAAAACCCATCTCTGTATTTTGATCAGTGTATCTGTTGCATGCTGTTGTGTGCTGTGTTTGAGTTGAGAAGGAGTTATTTTCATTTTCTCCAAATCTGTATTTTTAATAATAAGCACTGAAATTTGGTGCACCATTTTTGCGTGTATTTTCTCTGTTCTATTTTTAAATAAAACGAACAAAAACAGGCTCCTCTCTTTAACCCGTGTGTATGAAGAGATTTAACATGTTTGTGTGTTTGAAGAGATTTAATCTTTATATATGTGATTTATTTGCTGAGTGGTATAGTGGCCTAATTGGTGAAGATGCTCTCCTCTCACTTGGAAGTGAGAGTTCAATCCCAGGTAGTGACAGATGTTTCTCTCTTAGGACGCAAAGAGAAAATTGCTGCTGTGAACTCCATGTAGGTATCAGGAAGGGCATCCGGCCAATAAACGCTCAGCTCCATCCAGTCACCCCAACTCTAACCTGAATTAAGGGTAGAGAGTTGTAAAAAAGGGAGTTTTATATGTTAAATCTATTCACTGCCTCACTCCTAGGGGATTGCTAATAAAATAATACATTACATCAAAACATTAAAATGAAAATTTTCAAATCATAGAGGTATTTGTAGGGTTTTTTGTTTTTGCTTATAAGGCAAGGGGTACTTTACCAAAAATTCACTTCTAATTGTTAACTTTTATTATTATTATTATCATTTACTAATATGGGCCAATGAGCATCATTTTAAATAGCCCAAGTTATCTATCAGAATTGGCATGTCTCAACTTTCTGTAATCTGGTGTCTTCCAGATACATTGGAATCATATCCTAGAATTCAAAAGTAACAATCCCATTGGAATTTCCATGTTGAGCTGTTGGAAGAAACATCCTTCTAGGTTCTGCTCCAAGTGGGGAAACAGACACTGGAAACATGGAGACTGCTTGGAAAGATGGTTTAATGATGGACAAGGATCACATGGCTTGAGTTCCTGAACAGAAAAGGGCAGATACAGCGAGTTCTTCAGGTTTTATGCTCTCTCTGGCTTTGAACTTCCTGGGGCCCAGAAAGAGTACTCTGATTGGTTGTCAGACTCCCAGGGGGTGGGGGTCTTGCTGGCTGATGGTCACATGTGCTTCCCAGGTCACATGTGGTGAGTTTCTGCTGCTATTGTGTAGAGGGCTAATCCTATCTTTGTTGGATCTTTGGCAATTCCTACTTTGGCTCTGCCTGAAGGAGGTAGATCTTTGTTATGTAGAATAGACTGGCCCAAGCCTTAATGGCCCATTGACAAAGGGTGGGGACAGGAAGATGGAAGCTGCTTTGTCTGTAAAATATGCTTCTCCATTTCTCATCCAGGGAAATATAATATTCTGCCTTTTTCATATTTCCTAAAATATTTCACTCTTCCAGGAAAGGGGTGGGTGCTAACTTCCTACAGAGCAATCCTAGAAGCTGTATCTGAACAATCTGGGAGATGCCAGATCTAGAAAAGGCAGTGCAAGTCACAACTTCAGCCTCTAGTTATCTACAGTATTTTAAAAATCTTGTTATCCTGGGCACAGGTTCCATTGGACAAAATTCCTGGGGGGGAAAAAGAAAATTCACATGCAAGACCACCACTGCAAGGTGGTCAGAAAAGTCAAGATGGCAGCCACAACTATGTGGTCAAAGCTTTGTCTTTAATATAGTATGCATCATATATTGCTGCGTATATCTTGACTTTTTTGAACATACCCTGTATACAAGTTATATTTTGTAAGATTCTCCAGTGAGCTAAAGGAGACAAATCAATTTGTCTCCTTTAGCTCACTGGAGAATCTTACACAAAATATAACAGTTCTTTATTTACAATTATTTTTTTAATGACTGTCCTAGGATTGATGGCTTTACACAATTTGCAGCTAAAATGTTAATATAGGCTTCACAGAACACACTATCCACTATACTGTAGGAAGAAATATCCTTCTGGGTTCAGCTCCAAGTGGGGAAAAAGACACTGAAAACATGGAGACTGCTTGGAAAGATGGTTCAATGGTGGACAGGATCACATGGTTTGAGTTCCTGAACAGAAAAGGGACGAGATACAGCAAGTCCCCGGGTTTTATGCTTTCTCTGGCTTTGAACTTCCTGGGGCCCCGAAAGAGTATCCTGATTGGTTGTCAGACTCCCAGGGGGTGGGGGTCTTAGCTAGCCTTGCTGGCTGATGTAATCTTCCCAGGTGCCATGTGGTGAGTTTCTGTCCTAGATGAGTCCCATTGTGTTAGTTTCTGTTGCTATTGTGTTGCAGATGGGTCCTATTGTCAAAGATTGAGTTTCTGCCTCTGGCCCATTAACAAAGGGGGGAGGCACGAAGGTGGGAGTTGCTTTGTCTTTAAAACATGTTTCTCCATTTCTCAACCAGGGAAACATAATATTCTGCCTTTTTAATATTTCCTAAAATATTTCATTCTTCCAGGAAAGGGGTGCTAACTTCCTACAATACAAAGCAAACTACATCACAGCTCAGCATATTGCATGGAAACATGTACTTAAATGCACATTTTATTTAAGTTTATTGCCCATCCAATTTCAGCAGACTCTACATATAATGCTGTAGGGGGGTTGCTGTTAGATGTTCGTCCCCTTTGCAATAATAAAAGCAGGAGAACCAGTCTTCATATTCTCAATGGACTTTCAGCTTTTGCTGCCAGTTGTGAGGATCAAATGAAAGGCCGGTATCCTATTTTCATGTCTTCCTCACATGCTTAGCAGCATCTGTCTACTTTCATAATTGCTTGTGAGTTGGACTGTCTCCTGGGCTAAGTTTCTCCTAGGAAAAAAGCCCATTTAACAATGCACAACCTTGGCAGTTTTAAGACAGGTGAACTCTCAGAATTCCCCAGCCGGCATTTTTGCATACTACTATAAGGATGCAACGGTGGAAGTCTCAAATTCAGCTTTGCCAACTTTATTATTTAGTCCTTTTGTCTTGAATGTAGGGAAAAGTGTTAAATTTTTATTTCTTGCTTTGTTCTAAAATCTGTATATCGGTGCATTTTTCCTAGTCTACACACTACAGCCATTTTTGAGCAGGCACTTTCGTAGCCACCTTAAAGCAAGCCTGCTGTGTTGCCATGCGAAACCCGGAAGGGACCTGCCCTATTTTATCCAATGGCGAACACGCATTCCTTCTGTTGTCCTTAACTAAGATGGCGGCGAAACTTTCGGCGTCTATCCCGTGACGCACACCTTTGACCTCTGCCTTAAAGTCACAGCCGACGTCTTCGCGGAGCATGCGCCCTTGGGGACTCCGCTTCTTTTCCTTTAAGTAAGATGGCTACCTTGTTCCTTTCTTCCTACGCCTTGCCCTTAGTGGAGACGGCAGAGCTGGCTTCTTTCCTTGCTCTGACTCTACGCATGCGCCGATGACTTCGGAACGATACTTTCTTGCCCGAAAGGAAGATGGCCGCAGCCTGAAGCTGCGAAAAATCAGCTGAGGGGAAGCGACGGTTGGGGTATTCCGCGACCTGCTTTTCTTCTCCTCATGCAACGCCGGGATGCTCTGCTCGAGCGGCTTCTTCCGCGGCATCGAATGTCCCTACGGGCAGGCCTGCGGGAGGCCCTACTGCCACTTCAGGCACCCGCCCGGGGCCCAACACACCACCGATGGCCCTATACCGCCTCGACGCCTTTTGGCCCTGTCTGGTCCCAGCAGACGCCCCGCCACAGTCGGAGGTAATCGGACGGCATGGTGACCGAGTCTCCTCCAACCGCGGTCTTGAGGGAAAAAAACCCCGCTATCCGCGCTCCGTGGCGCTGTTGAACTCGGGGCGGCGTCCCTGTCTCGCGTGGGATAAAAGCGGCGTGGACGTGACTGACTTTTTTTTCCTTTTTTTTTACATTAAAGAAATCCCCTGTTCTCTCTATTACAGCAACCGCTTCCCCCCCCGGCTTTATTAACCCACCCTGTCTCGTGGGATGGGGTGCGGTCGGGGGGTGGGTGGGTATCATTGAGGCGAGGTTTCTTCCTCGCCCTAATCCGGGGAAGGAGAAGAAACCTTGTTAAGGGTGAGAGCGAGGGAAATTTCCCAAGAGGGTTTGGGATGGGAGGAAAGCAACGGAGAGCCTTCCCCATTTTTCCCCCCCGGAGCAGAGTCGCTCATACCCTTGTGGGGGGGGTAGTCGGGAGCAGCCATTGACACGCGTGGAGCAGCTCTCCTGAAGTGGTGGGTGGGCAGAACGAAGCCTCCCCCAGGAGAATTGAGCCTCCTCCTCCTCCTCCCATAACCCTGATTCCCATATCGCATCTGCGGGTGGAAGAAGAAAAAATAATAATGTGTACGTTCGTAAGTTGTTGTAATCAATTCAGGAGGGTTAAAAAAAAAAAAACTTGTCCTGGAATGTGTGTGTTGTTTTGTGTGTGTAGACGCTTACCATCTGTGCCTTCTGGATCCATGGTTGCTTTGTACCAGGCTGTTTCCTGGCAAGGCGTAGTCATTTGTGGAAATGGGTGTCACGAAGTGTGGGCGTGGTCATTTGTACAGTTAGCTTTGGAAATGGCCTGGTCAATTTAAAGGGAGCCTCTGGATTTGGGGGAAAAGGTTTGTCGTCCCTGGCTGTGGGTTGCTGATGCAGATGGGCAAAAGTAAAAAAAAAAAGGCCACTCTCCTTCCCTTCCCTTCCCTATTCTATTGTAATGTTCCCTGGTTGAAACCAGTGAACATTACAATAGAATAGAAATCTTTATGGGCCAAGTGTAATTGGACACATAAGGAATTTGTCTTTGGTGTATGTCAGGAGTAAAATCCAACAGGTTCTGACAGGTCCTGGAGAACCGGTAGCGGAAGTTTTGAGTAGTTCGGAGAACCGGTAGCAGAAATTTTGAGTAATTCGGAGAACTGGCAAATATCACCTCTGGCTGGCCCCAGAGTGGGGTGGGAATGGAGATTTTGAGGTATCCTTCCCCTGGAGTGGGGTGGGAATGGAGATTTTGCAGTATGCTTCCCCTGCCATGCTCACCAAGCCACGCCCACCAAGCCACACCACGCCCAGCAAGCCTCGCCCACAGAACTGGTAGTAAAAAAATTTGAATTTCATCACTGGTATATGTGCTCTCAGTGTACATAAGGAGAATAAAATACATTCATCAAGAATAAAAAGATACAACACTTAGTGATAGCCAAGGTTACTAATAAGCTATCAAATCGTACTAGGAAACAAATAAAAACAATATAAATTGAAAGATACAAGCAACATGGTTATAGTCATAAGTGGGAAGAGTTAGATACTAATAAGGAAGAGAAGAATAATAGTAATACAGTTTTAGTAAATTATTTGACAGTGTTGTGGGAATTAGTTGTTAAGCAGAGTGATGGCACTCGGGGAAAAACTGTCCTTGTGTCTAGTTGTTCTGGTGTGCAAATTTGAAAAATTTGGCTAGTCTAGAGAAAAGAAGAATTGGAGGTGATGTGATAGCAGTCTTCCAGTATTTGAGGGGATGCCGCAAAGAAGAGGGGTTCAAATTATTCTCCAAAGCACCAAAAGGCAGGAAAAGAAACAATGGCTGGAAACTAATCGAGGAGAGAAGCAACCTGGAATTAAGGAGAAACTTCCTAACAGTGAGGGCAGTTAACCAGTGGAACAGCTTGCCTTCAGAAATCGTGGACACTCCATCACTGGAGGTTTTTAAGAAGAGACTAGACAGTCACTTATCTGAAATGATATAGGTTCTGCTTGAGCAGGGGGGCTGGACTAGAAGACCTCCAAGGTCCCTTCCAGCTCTATTCTATTCTAAAACAAGTTGCCACCTTGCTTGCTAGATAGCTGCCACAGAGGCTTGTTTTTTCCATGAAGTCGCTGCTGTGCTATGCGTGGCCAGTTACCAAACATCCATTTCCAAGAAGGTGAATTGATAAGATATTCTCTCACACCTTTGGTTTTAGTTTAAACAGTTTTTAAAATTAAATCGGTGGGGGAAAGAACCTATTAGCTAATACGTATGGGCAGCGTAGAGTGTATATCATGTTTGTTCCTCCAAACTATGCAAATGTAATCTGGCTATAAGATTCTTCCTGCGAGATTATACAGGTAATCCTCAATTTATGACCACAACTGGGCCCAAAATCTCCATTGCTAAGCAAGATAGTTAAGTGAGTCACACTCCATTTTACAACATTTTTTGGCACAGTAGGTAAGCAAATTACTTCAGTTGTTAAGTGAATCATGTGGTTAAGTAAATGAAGAGCTATAGTGGCACAGTGGTTAGAATGCATTACTGCAGGCTAACTCACTGCTCACTCCAGGAGTTTGATTCTGAGCAGCTCAAGGTTGACTCAGCCTTCCATCATTCGAAGATTGGTAAAATGAGGACCCAGATTGTTGAGGAACAATATACTGATTCTTTAAACTGCTTAGAGAGAGCTGTAAAGCACTGTGAAGCGGTATATAATTCTAAGTATATAAGTATAAGATAAATCTGGATTCCCCTATTGACTTTGCTTGTTGAAAACCAGCTGGGAAGGTTACAAATGGTGATCATATGACTTTAGGACATCATAAATACATACGGTACCAGTTGCCAAGTGCCTAAATTTTGGTCATGTAAACATGGGGATGTTGCACCAGTTGTAAGTGTGAGAATGGTCATAAACCACTTTTTTGAGCACCATTGTAAATGTGAATGGTCACTAAACAAATAACATATTTGGTGGTATTGTACGTTCCCATTAAGTACTTTATATCCTCAAAGATTTATTTTAAAAATGTTAGAGAAGAGGAGGAAGCTTTACTGGACAAGACTGAGACTAAGCTGAAAGAGTATTTAAAAATGACAGACTCCAAGAATGATATGGAAAAATGTTACATTGAATATACCAGTGAAAATAGCCGATGACTTAAAAGGGATATACAAATAACAAACCAAAAAAGCAACCTAGATGACTCCCCTCTATTGGACTTAGAAAGGGACTTGTTAAAAGTTTAAAGAATTTTGTGAGAAGGGAGAAAGAAAAATGAAATCAAGTTCTAGGACAGTATTGTATTTGCAAGGATTATAGATCAAGTTTGTTAAAAGTAAAAGGAAGGAATATAAAATAAGTTATATCTGATCAAGGTTAAATATTAAAACTAACAGAGTTTGGTATAGTGCATAACAAAGTGACATCGGGCTAGAAACTGGGAGACCATGAGTTCTAGGCCCAGCTTAGACCAATTGCCAACTGGGTGACCTTGGGCCACTCATTTTTTCTCAGCCCTTGAGGTAATAGCAAACTGCTTCCGAAAAACCTTGCCAAGAGAACTGCAGGGGCTTGTCCAGGTAGTATCCAAGAATCAATCCAATTGAACAGAAGAAAACAAAAGGTATATTTATCTCTGGTAACCCTTAATAGATTTTGCTGACCAGCACTGAACACTGAGGTTGTAAGGATTCATTTATAGATTCTTATCTATACATATATGGGTGGAAGAGCTCGTTTGTTGTATTTTAAGAGAAGGTGATAATATGTTACTAAAATTATTTATACTTGTTATGATGAAGGGAGAAGTAATTGCTTTATGCATGTATTTTCTTTTTCGTTAGTATGTATTTTTCTTTTCTATTGTTTTTGCACGTTTCTCTTTTTTAGTTTGTATTAGTTTATATCTTTTAATTGTATTAAAAAAACATTAAAAAGATTTATAAAATGGGTTTTTAAGGCATTCCTATCTTTTACAAGGCATGTTGTAAAATGGCTGATGCAAACTTAAGGTTTATATACAGATTAGAAGCCTCTCGTGTCTTATATAGTACCATACACAGAGGTACTGTATCATAAAATAATGTGTTTGCACATCAGCATAATGCAACCAGAGACTACTTCTGAATCAATATCAATGGTTCTTAAAAACTTATCTTCTTGGCTGCCATAGCAGAAAGTCTGGTCAAAAACTGCTTTGGTAGAGATTTCTTTGAAGTTGTTGTCTTCTTCCATAAAATACATATTTATATGATTTGGGCCTGGGTTGTAAATTGGGTATAAAGATTTTTCTATAATACTTTTAGTATACTAGTTTTCCATCATGCTGTAGAATTGAGGAAAACAAGTGTAAATTATTATCATTGTATTTCCAAAGCCAGTGACATCATAAACAAGAAAGCCCTTGCTAGGGGACAATCCTTTGGACCAGGGGTCCCCAAACATGGCAGCTTTAAGACTTATGGACTTTAAGTCGCAGAATTTTCCAGGTAGCTATGCTAGCTGGAGAATTCTGGGAGTTGAAGTCCACAAGTCTTAAAGCTGCCAAGTTTGAAGACCTCTGCTTTGGACCTTTTGCATCAGCAGCAGAGCAACCAAGGCCTCAATTGAAGGTCTCGGGTTAAGCTGGTATTGTTTGAAAGGCCAGCTGTTTTGGTTCTCCTCATCTCCTCTTTCATCTAGCTGGTAGCCATTTTGTTAAGCTATTTGAGTGGCTTGTATTTCTGACTGATCACTTTATGATCTATTCTTCAGTTATCCCAGGTATCGGTATCAGACTGACTGCCGATGTCTGGTGCTTTCCCAAGATGTGTACAGTGGCCACCTTCTAGTAATTGGGTAATTCATAAATGCATGCTAACCCAAGTTATACTCAGTGAGTCTCGCTATTCCATTTATATGCCACTGCAATTTAAATATAACTCAGTGGTTAAGATAAGAATACAAAAAGAAATCCCCATGGTAAATTATATCAAATGACCATGCTAAACTCAATTAAAACAATGCAAATACGCCAGCAACAGTGCATAAACACGTTCAGTTAATTATTCCCAACCAATCAGCTCAATGCATTTAACACACATTATGCCATCTTAAAGCATAAACACACTTAAAAAGAATTCAGTTTTCAGCATTTTCTTAAATGAAAACAAGGAGGGTGGTATTCCAAAGAATGGGTGATGTCATCGAGAAATAGCACTTTCTAGCAGTGAGTAGAGTAGAGTAGAGTAGAGTAGAGTAGAGTAGAGTAGAGTAGAGTAGAGTAGAATAGAATAGAATAGAATAGAATAGAATAGAATAGAATAGAATAGAATAGAATAGAATAGAATTGAATTCTTTATTGGCCAAGTGTGATTGGACACACAAGGAATTTGTCTTTGGTGCATATGCTCTCAGTGTACATAAAAAGACGATACATTCGTCAAGAATCATACGGTACAACACTTAATGATAGTCATAGGGTACAAATAAGCAATCAAATCATAATAGGAAACAATATAAATAGTAAGGATACAAGCAACTAAGTTACAGTCATGTAGTCATAAGTGGGAGGAGATGGGTGATAGGAATGATGAGAAGATTAATAGTAATATTAATGCAGATTTAGTGAATAGTTTGAAAGTGTTCTGGAGGTATCTAGATGCAATGCCACAAAGGTCTTTTAAAATCACCCAGCACTTTAAATTGCTTCTATAAGCCTATAAGGATCTAACGTAGGGCCTTTCATAAAGGCGTAATGTGCTTCTGATAGCAGATGCTAGGAAACATATGGTTGCTGTGTTATGAATCAGATGCAATTTCCAAGTAGTTTTAAACTATAGTTTATAATGTGGAAGTTTATCTTGGAGAGCTGGTGTATGTGAGGTGCTTGTTCTGAATGTGAGCTTTTTTAAAAAATACTGGGGCCATTTAAGAGGGAAGTACCTCTTTAAGAGCAGTGTATGTGAAGGTGGGACTAACAAGTTTCCTGTCTGCTATCCTGCAGCGTTGAACAATCTTTGCTGTCCAAGAGTTGGCAGTTGTACAGTAGGACGTGTTTTGATAGCTTGGTGTGTCAGGGTGGCTATAAGAGTGCAAAGAAGACATTTAAAAGAGAAAGAGACCTTTGGATGAAAGTATGAACAAGTACCTCCATTGTCTGTCTGTGCATGAGAGCCCAGGTAAAAAGAGAAAACTTTTCTCCAATGATTATTTTGCCTTTGATATGTCAGAAAGAAATAACATTGTGGCAGCCTTTTTACATACTGGTGGTACCATTGAAACTGTCTTACCAAAGAGCTGCTTAGTTTTATACGTTAGTGGGCTATTTAGCACTTCTTTGCCACCTGTGTCCAAAACATCAGTTAACATATTTTCTTTTACGTCATTCTGGACTTATATATTAAAACATTGACTAGAAAAAATTTAGAAATCAATTAAATAGCATCATCTAGTTTATAGTGTTAGGTAGAAGAGAAAATATCAATTACATTCTTAAGTCTTCCCCTTTCAACTTTTAATAGCAGAACAGTGTTTATTGTCTGAACAATTGAAATTACATTAAGATTGTGGTTAAAATGTTACATGAGAAGAATATAGTATAGAAGGAAAGGATCCAAGATATGAAATATTTATGCATTTTGGGTCTTGTACATTTCCTCGTAAACTAAAAATCCTTGGTAGGTATTTATTCAATGAATTTAAAGTGATATTTGTACAGATAGTATTATTTTCCTGAACTTTTCCCAATGACAGTGGCTAACTTTAGGTACATGAAAAGCTTCCTTATATGAAGTCTGACTTATTCTTATAGATTTGATCTACTGTCGGTGATGGCAGTTTTTCAGAAATTCAGACAGATAACTGACTTTTTCAGTACTTGTTAATCTGAAACTTTTAACTGCTTAAAAAATGCTTAATTTTTTAAAAAAGAAAATAGGCTACTAAAATAACCCTTTTGTAGGTTTTGGGAGCTGATTTGACCAACATTTAAGTACTCTGTGCATATAAAAGTCTTTCCTTACTAATTATAGACATGTTAATTTTTGAACTGCAGATGTTCAAGAAAGATTCAAACCCTTGCCGTGTGTTTAAATGCAGATTTTGGAGGAATGAAACTTGCAAGGGTTTCTAAAGTAATTTTTGAGTTGCAGTTTCAGTAAAATCTTCCTGAGGTGCTACAGAGTATGAGGTAGCCATAAATGTATTTCTGTGTGCATTTCAGTCTGTTTTTGACTCCTGGCGACTGCCTAAAAAAAACCGTGCAGTTTTCCTGGGAAGCTGTTTGCCATTGTCTTCTTCCCAGGGCTGAGAGATAGTGATCTGCACAAGGTCACCCAGCTGGCCTCATGCCTAAAGCAGGACTAGAACTCACAGTCTCCTGGCTCCTAACCTGGTCCTTAACCATTTAAACTGGCTGTCAGACCTGGAAGTCATCTTTTACCTTTGAGCCTTCAGGCCTGCCACAAATTCTACTATGGGAAAATGGGATGGGGGGATTGTATGGAGTGAAGATGATACATAGTCAAAATAACATTCTTTCAAGAAAATCAAGGCGGAGTTGCCCTGCAGCTGTGCTGAGAAGACAGGGGAGGTATCTTCTGTTCCAGAGGGTACCTGATTGGTGTGGGTGATGGACATGTGGGTGATAGGCAAGGACTTGAACTTTCTTTTGAGTGAGGAAAACCCAGAAGCTCTCAGATTCGGGTTTTCCCAGATGTGCCAATATGACATCTCTAATAAAAATTAGCTTTGAGGAAATTCAAGCCTCGGAGTTGGATTTCATTGGGGGTGTTACTTGGAACCCTGACACTGGCTATCATAAATGCTTAGACCTGTGGATAACTTCCACTTGTAGATCTATTCATAAATGTGGTATGGAGTGAAACTAGAAGAAGATTGTACTTTTGGGTGGAGGTACATTTCCACATGGGGTGTTTTGGATAAACCACTCCTTTGTCTACAGTGGTCTTATCTATAGTTTTCAAGACAGGAAGAAAAAGTGACGAACAAGAAGCTGATTTTTTTAAAATTTAGTTTTTTCCTATAACTTTTCTTGTAATAGGTGCCCTATTTCAGCATGTTCTGAGGAGTTTTTGCTGATATTTCCAATGACATTAGTTAGATGAGATGGGGCTAAATTCCTATTGTAAGCTATTCCTTTCTCACAATGTGAGGTCGATTTGTTCCTGTCTCCTAGAGTACTGAACGTTTTTAAACGACTGTAGCAACAGTGCTCCTCATACAGTGGGAGCATGTATCAGTAGGCGTTGTGCAACTTTCTTCCAAGTCTTATCTTTTCTGTTTGCATATGTGGCTAAGGAAGAGGGCCTGAGATGATAGCGAGTCTTCCGAACTATCATGGCTAATGGCTGTTAAGTGAACTTTCTCCTTGAATGTTTATGAAACTCCTTTTAACTCCTGTCAAAGCAGCCTCCCGAACTTCAGTTCAGAACTCATCTGAATTGTGCGAATCTTCATTTTTTCTTTCTACTGTAAAATGTTGGAATTATCAGGTAAAAATATGATATGGAAGAGATGGTATAATTCCCCTATATTTCCCCCACATTAGGGATTCAGTTAGAAATTAAAAGCACATTTCTCCTTTAAAAAAAAAGTTCATGACACTTATTCACCATGAACTGGAAGTGAAAATGGCTTATATGTGTCTCCTTTTCATTTGTGTTCCAAATTAAACATGCTCTTCCAGTCCTTGTCTGCTGACTGTTTTTTTGTTGACTAAGGTTCCTTCACCTTTCTTGCAACAGTCCTGTGGTTTTCTCTCTCGTTTTGGACCACAGCCTCATTATTGGTGTGTGCTAATTCATGTCCTGCTTTTGAGTGCAGTTCTCCTGTTACTGTTTGGAGGACTAATTTCTCCATAATAGATTTATCTCATATCACTGTTAGTTATGTTAGTATTAGGATGACTCCCATAGGAATATGATAATCCGATTAGCTGAGATTTACTCCTGAATCCACTAAGAAACAAGGTATACTTAGTTAAAATTCCTCACTTTCTTCAAGACCAAGCAATTGAAAATCTCCATTATTTTTACAAGCCAATGTGAAATACTAGACAATGCTAACCCATCCTAAATTCTTTGCTTGAGACCAGAAAGGTAATACTTTGTCATGGATAGGTCTCCTATATATGGGGTGTTGAAGTTGCACATTATCAATTTTAGATAGGAGGAAAGATCTGGAAAGTTGTTTATATGCCGCCCATCTCATTGTTGAAGCGACTTCAAATTTAGATAAGAAATGCAAGCATATTCATATTACAGCAGAGATTTGTGTCCCAAGTCTAAAAAAAATAGGGAGAAAACAAAAACATCTCTTCAGCCATACTTTTATGCAGTGAGGTTGGATGACATAACAGGAACAATTGCTGATGCAGACCGTTCTGAGGGCCATATGGCAGTTGGTTCTTTGCCTTCTCATCTTTTATAATCAAATGAATTTTTATAATTGGGATTTGGTGGGTATTCTGAGAATGGTTGATGCTAATATTCTTGTTTTTCTTCCTTTTCCAGGGTGTGGTTATGACCCCTACAACCCAGAACTTCCCAAACCTGTGGCACAAGACAGCAATGGCACTTTGGAAAATATCGTCTCGTCAGCTTCTGGAATTCTGGAGCTTGAGCTGTTTGACAAGGCAATTGAAGCTGCCAAGAATGAAGTTGAACGTGAGCAAAAGAAGTATGAAGAGCTGCTGGAGACAACTAAAGAGTATGGCTCCTCCGAACCTCCTTTGCTTGCTTCTAAGGCTGCTGGATTAGCAACATCCAACCCATTCAGTTCTCTGGAGTATAGCCCAGGTAGTTACAATGCAAACAGTGGTAATGACTACAACCCTACTCCTCTTGCAGTGGTTGCTTCTAGTCAGTCTAGCAAATATACTTTGGACTCCTTCAACAATACGAAATGCAAGGGCAGCTCACTGGAATATGTTCCCACTGTGGTCACTCAGCCGAAGAAGTACAGCAGCTCTGTTGGAAATAGCAAATACATAATTGACAACTCCAAGCCTTCAACAGATTTAGAATATGATCCTCTTTCAAATTATTCTGCCAGGCTGTTGAGCAAAGCTAAAGAACAGAAGGGGACTAAGCGGAAGAGAGAAGCTGATCGTGAGGAGGCATATTCTCCTTCATTCAAGAAATATTGTGACGAAACTAGCAACGATGAGCCCATCGCCCGGTTCTCTGACTCGGAGGATGAACGCCACGAAGCTTCTACCACCCCCCTTAAATCTAAAGGAGGTTCAGAAAGCAAATTGGGTACAGCCAAAGAAAAGGGAGCCCCACCAATAGATACTAGTTCCCGACAAATGAAAGAGACTGCCGTGCAGTATGACATGGGAGACATCGAGAGCCCTCAGAGAACCCCTATCAAAGATTCAGTGGAGAAAAATGCCAAGTTGGTCAAAGTGCCTTCTAACCGAGATGCGAAAGCAAAGGAAAAGAATAAAGTGGCGTCAAAGGATAAATTGAAAAAGAAAAAGGAAGATGACCACAAGGCGCAGGGTAAGAAAAATCAAGGTAAAATAGGAGACAAGGAGAAGATGGACGTGAAGGCACAGCACAAAAATGGGGAAAGGAGTAAGGAGAAACCAAGCAAGTCCCACGTTGACAGGCATGCACTGAAGCTCAATAAGCCAAAATCTATGATTACACCTGGAATTAAGGAGGAGAACTCTGGCAAGAACAAAGATGTTGGCAAAGCTGCTGCTACTGAAAAATCAGGGACTAGTAGGAAAGATGGCAAGTTCCAGCCTGTAGAGTTGAAAAGGAAGCCCCAAATCCCTAGTGGGACTGAACACAATAAGAGAAAAGACAAGCAACCGGCCTTGAAAAGGTCTAAGGAAGCATTGACCAATTCCCAGGCAAAGGAGAATTCGGAGGCCAAACGCAAGGTTAAACAGCGGTCCCTGAGCCACGTTGATCTCTTTGGTGATGAGAGTGGAGAGGAGGAGCAGGTGGGCCAGCCTTTTCTTCCATTCCCTGATGTGAGTTCAGACTCGGACCGAGATGATGCTGACTTCTCTTTGCCCTATGACAATGGGATGGCCAATGTTAAGAAACTTAAGTTATCCCAGCCTCCTGCTGCTTCCTCCTCCTCCTCCTCTGATGATGAGATTGATTATTCTGGCCTAGAGAAGGATTTGGATTTTGAGTATGACCCAATGGAGGAGTGCCTTCGGATTTTTAATGAATCCACTGATGTCAAAACAGAAGACAAAGGCAGACTAGGAAAACAGGTAAAGATCTAAGAATACTGGGATGGGCTGATGAGTTAACAGGCTCCTCAACCTGTTTAATTAAAAACATACCTCTCTTGATTGATTGACTGGGTATGTCTAGTTTAATGAAAAGAAGGACTAGGGGAGACATGACAGCAGTGTTCCAATATCTCAGGGGCTACAAAGAAGAGGGAGTCAAGCTATTCTCCAAAGCACCTGAGAGCAGGACAAGAAGCAATGGGTGGAAACTCATCAAAGAGAAAAGCAACTTAGAACTAAGGAAAAATTTCCTAACAGTTAGTACAATAATCAGTGGAACAACTTGCCTCCAGAAATAGTAAATGCTCCAACACTGGAAGGTTTTAAGAAGATGTTGGATAACCATTTGTCTGAAGTGACGTAGAGTTTCCTGCCTAAGCAGGGGGTTGGACTAGAAGACCTCCAAGGTCCCTTCCAACTCTGTTATTTTATAAATCTACATTGATAGAATAATTTCTGAACATGATGTCCCTGTGCCTACCCTTGAATTTTAAGAAGATCTACTTAAAGTATAAATGATTTGACATATTGAGTGTGTTATGAAAGGAACATTACAGCTAGTCCTCGACTTACAACAGTTCATTTAGTGACCGTTTGATGTTACAATGGCACTGAAAAAAGTGATTTATGACCATTTTTCACACTGATGACCATTGTAGCATCCCCATGGTCACGTGATCAAAATTCATAACTTGGCAACTGATTCATGACTGTTGCAGTGGCCCCGGGGTCAGGTGATTACTTTTTGAAATCTTCTGATAAGCAAAGTCCATGGGGAAGCCAGATTTGCTTAATTCACTTAACGATTGTGGCAAGAAAGGTCATAAAATGAGGCAAAACTCACTTAACAATGGTCTCGCTTAGCAACAGAAATTTTGGGCTCAATTGTGCTTGTAGTTCGAGGTCTATCTGTAGCCTTGGTAGCGCAGCAGACTAAAGTGCTGTTAAGTAGCACCAGCTGCCTGCAATTACTGCAAGTTCAAATCTCACCAGGCTCAAGGTTGACTCAGCCTTCCATCCTTTTGAGGTAGATAAAATGAGGACCCGGTTTGTGGGGGCAATATGCTGACTTTGTATAAAAAAGAACACCGCTTGGGGGAGGGGGGACGAAAGCCCTACTAAGCAGGGATATTCAAAAGTATGAAGGCTATTGCTTAACGCTCTGTAAGCCGCCCTGAGTCTCCGGAGAAGGGCGGCATATAAATCGAACCAATAAATAAATAAATAAATAAACAAACAAACACTATAAATGATGGTAGTTTCTTTAGACTAGATGATGATGACGGCCTCTTCCATTCCATACATTCTGTGAGTTTGGGTTTTCTGGCAGTAATGTGTTACAGGTTCCCACAGGGGGAAAAAAAGGTAGCTGAAGGTGTCATTAAAAGAATCGTAATATATAGAAACTTATTTTAGTATACAAAAACAGTAGAAATTGGATCATAAAACACCTTTATATTTCAAGGATGGCTGGCCCTTGGCTTGCAAAGTAGTTTGTAGCAAGCAGGATATTGACTGAATTAGAGATAATTTTGCAAAGACTCTTGGAATTGCTTAGTGATTTGGAGCAGTTTTGTTGCTTGATGCCTGATATACCTCATGCTTTAGGAATTACATTTTCACTGTGTAATTATAGAGGAAAACATGGGGTGAGAGAAGCCTGCTGCCTCGAGCAATAGAGCTTCTTCACTGTTTTCTTTCCTGGAAAAGCCTGTAGCTCAGACGGTAGAGAACTTAATGGTCCTGGTGGAAAGACATAGATTCAGATCATAGTGTTTTTAAAAAGGTCTAATTAACAGTTGTTGGGGAAGGGCTTTTCTCCGCTGGAGGTTCTGGAAAATCACTGCCAGTCAGAATAAAAACTGGGCCAGACTGTTGAACCACCTAGGTCAGGGGTCTCCAACCTTGGCAACTTTAAGACTTGTGGACTTCAACTCCCAGAGTTCCTCAGCCAGCTTTGCTCTGGGAGTTGAAGTCCACAAGTCTTAAAGTTGCCAAGGTTGGAGACCCCTGACCTAGGGAAGTCAGTTCCTGAGTTCTTGTGGCTTCAGTAATCTCTTTCAATATGTGATAAAGGTAATCCTCAATTTACAACCATTCGTTTAGTGAATGCTCGAAGTGAACAAAGGTACTGAAAAAAAGTGACCTATGACCTTTTTTCACGCTTACGACCGTTGTAGCATCCCCATGTTCATGTGATCAAAATTCAGGCACTTGGCATATTTATGACAGTTGCAGTATCCCAGAATCATCTGATCATCTTTTTGCGAAGTCAGTGGGGGAGCCAGATTCACTTTACAACTGCAGCTACTAACTTAACAACTGCAGTGATTCACGTAACAACTGTGGCAAAAGAGGTTGTAAAATGGGGCAAAACTCACTTAACAAAATGTCTCGCTTAGCAATGGAAATTTTGGCCTCAGTTACGGTCGTAAGTTGAGGGCTACCTGTATTGGTGAAATTATGGATGTGTCAATTATATACAGTATGTATTCAAGTTCAGTGGGCCAAATATGAACTGTTTTTAAAAAGTATCCTCCTTTTAAAAAAAATGCTATCCTACAGTAACAATTCTTTTTTAATAATGTGCAAAGTTTCTTGGATTTAGAGGTTACAGGTCCATAAGGTGCAAGGCAAGACCAAATAAAGTTATTTGCTTGTCTGCAAAATTACTGTAGCAAATTCAGTAATAATTTTTTCCCAGTCCTCCAGCTGTGTTCACAGCAGCTGCAGAAGTCTCTGCCAGTTTCAATCCCAATATATCTGGAAGGTGGTTATCAAAGGATGTAAGAAACCGTTTCTTCTTCTTTGCCCTATGAGAATGAGGATATTTCCCCCTCCCCAGAACTAAGTTGTAAGCTGTTACAGGCAGCGCTGACCTGTTCTGCTTTTCAAAATGAGCTTTGTGTTTTTGTTATTTTGAAAGATACACAAATATCAAATCTATTATTAGTTTGGAAATTTATTTTTCTCTCTCTCTTCTTTTTCCTTTAGGTATCAAAAGAGGAAGAGGGTGAAGAAAAGTTGACAGAAGACAGTTTAACCACACTCTTTCCTGGACAAAAAAGGAGGATTTCTCATGTAACACAGCAAAGACATGTAAGTAGATCTTGTAATGGCATCCGAAGTTTGTCTTGTCAATCTCCATTCTTGTTGATGAGTTTTTGGGGCATATATTCCCATGTCCAGCCAAGTAGGAGCCTTGATGGAGCAGCGGACTAAAGTGCTGTTAAGTAGCACTTAGCTGCCAGCTGTCTGCAATTACTGCGAGTTCAAATCTCACCAGGCTCAGGGTTGACTCAGCCTTCCATCCTTCCAAGGTAGGTAAAATGAGGACCTGGATTGTGGGGGCAATAAGATGACTTTGTATAAAAAAGAACACTGCTTGGGGGGGCCGAAAGCCCTACTAAGCAGGTATATACAAAAGTATGAAGGCTATTGCTTAACGCATTGTAAGCCGCTCTGAGTCTCCGGAGAAGGGCGGCATATAAATCGAACCAATAAACAAACAAACAAACAAACAAACAAATTAATTAATGTGAGGTTGTGAATGTAGTGTTGAAATCTAATATCTGCGGATTTCCACAGGCCTTGAAGATGTACACTTCTGTGTTTGTGGTTTTTAGATACGTGGTACAATAGCACTCAGGACATCTTTGAGCTGTCTAACTTAACACTGTTTCTAGTATGTGAGATTCTAGAAATAGCTTTGCAACTTTCAGAATGATCCTAAACATGTAGCCTTTCATTTTCTTTGTATTCCTGTTGCCATAAGATATGAAGAGCGTTAAAGAGAATCTAAGTTTTTGTATGTAACATTTGCATATAAATATTGAGGATCCTAGCTAATCTAGGAGTGGGGAATTTCCTTCTTCCTCAATAACTGCTTCATCCATGCAGTTAAACTTGAGAGGCCTTGCTGTATGTTTCTATACCATCAGCTGTTTAAGAGAAGGTGCAATAAGAAGCAGGGCCTTCTTTGCTGTGGCAGCTAAGAATTTAGAAAGGCAATAAAGCCACATATAAAACAATAGATTTCCCCTAGGCTTTATTTTCTTTTAAGGCAGCTGCTTTTTAAGAAAAATGTTGTTATGCTATTGCCCAGTTAACGTTTTGAATTTGTGGCTGTTTGTCTGTTTGAGTTATTTGTATTGTATGTGACAGATTTTGTGTTTTGTGTTTGTTTATTTGAAGCGCATTCTTGCTGATTTGGCATTCTATTGGCTGAATTCAGTTGTAAAATTGCAGGATTTAGCTGTGTTCTAAAACAAAAACAGCCCCTTTTCAATGAAGTGAACTCAGACCAAATCAGTTATTTGTTTTCTTCTTTTGGGATGAAATAGTAGCAAAGAACAGTTACTATAAGTTTAGGTAATCACCAGTATTTTTTCAGAGTATTTACCTCATTTCTGAGATTGTTAATGTGACCTGGTTCCATTTGCTGTAAATATTTAAACTTACTTTAAGTATTTTAAAAAAAGTGAAGTAAGGAGATTCTAGTTGCTGGATCTTTAGTTGTGTGTTTTCAGACCTTGATTAGCCTCTTTTCTGGAACATCAATGGGCTCTTTGTTTTCACAAATCAGGCCTTTGGTCGCCACACACAACATTCCGGCCGATTGTACATGTTCCTTCCATTTGTCCATTACGCACTGTTGCAGAGCAGGGGGAAAAAAAGTACTCTTGTGAAATGGATTGGAAATTCTGAAATTCAAATATTTGTAAGTTCTTAGTACATCTGCTGTTCACAAACCACTTTTGCAAAGGTGTATAGAGGTTCAGCACCTGTTTTCAGTATGAAAACATCACAGATGGACAAATATGTCCCGAAATGTGTAGATGGAACATTGTTTGTTTGCACTGTCTTCAAATCCTCTTTGCTTCTGTTCTGTCTCATATGAGTGAATCATATACCCATGATTGGTAAGGCCAATCTGTCAGTGTTCCAAGTAATAACTCCACAGAAAGCAGAACTCCAAGGCATACAAGTTCCTCAAAGAACAATTTTATTGGAGATACCATATTGCCACAAGCTGGTGAAAACTGACTCTGAAAGGTCCTGTGGTTTTCACCTGATTAAAAAGTAAAATAATAATAATAATAATAATAATAATAATAATAATAATAATAATAATTATTATTATTATTATTATTATTATTATTTTATTTCTATACCGCCCTTCTCCCGAAGGACTCAGGGCGGTGTACAGCCTATTTAAAAACACAACAAAACAATGATTAAAATTTAAAATCATTAAATAGATTAGGCTCCAATTAAAATCCCAGAAATACCCCAATTTAAAATTATTATGTTGATAGCCCGGCCTGGTGGAACAACAGGGTCTTCAGTGCGCAGCAAAACACCCGGAGGTCGGAGATCTTACGTATTTCCGGGGGCAGTTCATTCCACAGGGCTGGGGCTTCCACAGAGAAGGCCCTCCCCCTGGGTGTCGCCAGCCGACATAACTTGGCCGATGGCACCCTGAGGAGACCCTCCCTGTGGGAGCGGACTGGTTGGTGGGAGGCTATTGGTGGCAGAAGTCGGTCTCAAAGGTACCCAGGTCCTATGCCATGGAGCGTTTTAAAGGTAGTAACCAACACCTTGAATCGCACCCGGAAGACCACTGGGAGCCAGTGCAGCTCGCGCAGGAGGGGTGTCACGTGGGCGCAACGAGTTGCGCCCATAACCACCCGCGCGGCCGTATTCTGGACCAGTTGGAGCCTCCGAGTGCATTACAATAGTCAAACCGGGAGGTAACAAGGGCATGAGTGACCGTGCGCAGGGCGTCCCGGTCCAGAAAGGGCTGCAACTGGCGAATCAGGCGAACCTGATAAAAGGCCCCCCTGGCCACGGCCGTCATATGTTCTTCTAAAGACAGCCGTGCGTCCAGGAGGACACCCAGATTGCGAGCCCTCTCTGTGGGGGACAAAGATTCACCCCCAATAGTCAGCGATGGCACCTGCTGACTATATCGGGGCGCCAGAAGCCACAGCCACTCGGTCTTGGAGGGGTTGAGTCTGAGCCTGTTCCTCCCCATCCAGACCCGCACGGCCTCCAGGCAGCGGGACATCACATCAAGGGCATCATTGGGGTGGTCTGGGGTGGAGATGTACAGCTGAGTATCATCAGCGTACAGATGACACTTCACCCCAAAACCATGGATGATCTCACCCAGCGGCTTCACATAAAAGTTCCCCCTTTCCCCCAAACCATCAGTCACATTGTCCATTCGAGGTGTTGGATACTGTGCTCCTCCTTTCTCCAGCCACCTGTTGGAATGTCCTTGGTTCCCACAGGAAACTATTTTGTTTTGGCTACAAACCCCCATCTAACTACGTTCCCCCTCCCTATTCCTTCTTTGCACAGCGGTAATCCTGAAGCCCCCAAAATGGCCCCAGCCAGGTTCGCTTCAGAGTTGACACAATCATTCTCATCAGGGGTGGGTTCTACTTACCTTTACTACTGGTTTGCAATGGGGCCACGCGCACGCTCATTTCGCTCGTGCACACGGTCTTCTGCGCAAACGCAGAAGCTTCTGTGCATGCGCAGAAGCATTTTCATGACGTCAGGTTAGTGGGCAGGGCCTCCCGCCGATTTTACTACCGGTTCTATAGAACCGGTGCGAACCGGGGGCAACCCACCACTGATCCTCATCCAATTCGAAATATGTGGCTCCAGATTCCACACATGGCACGCTTTTCCTTTGTCACGCAAACCAATGTCCCTGCATTTCCTTTTCAGGTTGAAGTCCCAAGCAAGCCAGTGGTCCGGCCTTACCGGCCCCCAACCGCCCAAGAGGTCTGTTACCAGAGGATTCAGCTAGCGCAGAAGCAGGCAGCGCACCTGGCCCAGCAGCGGCCACAGCAGCCCCTGCCGACCGCAAAGGTTCCTGTGGCACCGCAAAAAACCTTAATTGCTATGCACAAAGGAGAAAGGAAGCGAGTTGCTCATGTGCCCAGTGCGGCTCTTTCGGCAGTCTCCAAGTTGGGCAAGTGAATGTTTTTCGGGGTTCTTTTTTTTTCTTGCAGAATAATTCTTTTTTTTTTCTCTTCAGGTTTTTTATTTTATATTACATACTCATATCAATGCATGAACAGTGTAACACCTGAGTGCCATACATTTCAGTACAGATAAAGTAATATTATTAATCATAGTTATCACATTCATCCAGCTTATGTACTTCTAGTAGTAATACACATTTATATCAAATTATAACCTTTAATTATTTCATATTTTTTAAACATACATAATACTACCACCGTTCAGTTTCTAAACCTCCCTCTTATCATTGCACTTATCTTATTTTATAAAAATGTATATGCTAATATTCCCCTTCCTCTTATTTCTGTCTTTAGTCTAACTTTTATTCATGTCACCATTATATTAAAAGACGTTCCCTTTGTATTGCAATACTATCCTTCATTATTTCATTGTTCAATATTTAAATATACAATTCTAATACCAATCACAATATTATTTAAACATACAAAATAACTCTATTCATATTCTTTGCTTTCATCCAGTATATATGGTTCTAGTATTAATACACATGTTTATATTAGAATACGTTCTTTTTGTTATTTGCTCAGTGTTTACGCTTTTTAATTTTTTTTTTATTATTAAGTAAGCTTTTTAAAGCTTATTTAATAATACCATCATTCAATCTCTAATTTTCCCATTTTATTATTACTTTTGTTCCATCATGTAAAAGTATATGTACAAGTAATCCCTCAATCTCTTATTGAACACATTCCTATCTCTGTTCTAATTTCCCCTCCTGCCACCATTATAAAAGAAGGAAAGAAAAAGAAAAAAAAGATTTTTTTCTTTCTTCTTTTTCCTATCCCCCTTCTATCCATCAACTCTTGCCTGCATCAATACTTTAATTCTTATTCTTTTTTTAACTTGCCTCCCATATTGTTCTCTTAAATCTTTATCTTTGTTTGTATCTGTATCTACATCCTGCCTAATCAATCTAAGTGTTTTTCCCATCCTTACCCTCTTCCACTGTCTAGCTTTGAAATTATCAACCTGGACCCCTCCCTTCCCAAAGTATCTTCCTGCTCCTCCTGTTCTCTTTTCAGATCTCTTAGAATGTTTTCCCCCTGGTTAGATTCATCAAACATTATTAATTTTATTGATGACTCCTTGTTATCTTCTTTTCGTTGATTCCTCAATTCTGTTTTTCCCCTCTATTCCTTCTGCTAGCTCCTTCCTTTTCTGGGCATCTTGGTCATTACTCATTGCCCTTTGTATAATATTTTCCAATTTTTGATCTATGCCATCCATTAATTCCATAATGGCCTTATGTTCTTTCTATATAATATTCTTTATGCTTTGAAACATCAAATCCATCTTGTTCAAAGTTCTGCTCGTTCTCTCCTTATGTTGCATCTTATCTTGTTTTAATAAATTCCACTTTTGGCCAATAGCCCAAGAACCATTTCTTAAAACCTGAGGTTACTCTTCAAAGTATACACTAATCACTGTTCTTTATGTTCCATAAGTAGTCAGTCAGTTCCATTTACATAGTCCAGAGAGTTATCCAAGCCTCTTTAAGTCACCTTTATAGATTCAGTCATATAACTGAACATTCAGGGGTCACTTTAATTAAATGTCTTCCTTGTTCTCACATTTAAATCTCCAGTGGTCATAGGGTAGATGTATTTAGTCCAGTAAATATTTTCACAGTCCTTTTAAATGGGTGTTCCCAGGCTTGTATATTTTCCTTTCATCAGCAGGTGGCACTCTCAGGTTAATTTTCAATATTGTTACTAGAAATTTGGTTTTAATTATTTTAAATTGTAATTAAATTATAGAAGCAGTGTTAATTTTTTAAATCCGTAATTCCAGCATTTTAAATTGCCTTCCCAATGTCACGTCTTCCCAATCTGAGAGTCCAATTTCCTGCGTTTTTAAAGATTTTTTTTCCCTCTCTTTAATCCTTTCCTTTCAGTCTGGTAGTTTTCTCAGTGTTTGATCGCCACTTTAGTTCTGAGTAAATCCTACATATCTCTTTTGGGGTTAACTTTTGGGTAAAAAAAATTCTATCACCCAGTTCCACACTGTTCACTAAAACCCACTCCAGCTCAAAGCTTAGATGGTTATTGGCTGTCCCAGCTTCATGACAGCCATCTTAGGCTGTCTCTTCTCGTCGTCATGACTGAGAGGGAAATTAAGCCCCAGGTCAGGCAGGAGAGCTGCGACACTCTGAGACCTCGCAGGGTGTCCCTCTTTGATTCACCGCCCCTCCAAGGCGGCTTTGGCTTCTTTCGGAGCCCACCAACAGGGAGAACTTGGCATGGGAGTGTGGAGACCCGCTTTCCATGTCTGATCTCGCCATGACGTCAGCCGGACAGCCAGAAGTATTATTCATTCTTTTAGGAGAAGCAAGGCAGAGTATCCTCATCTTCTGACCTGTTAAAGGGGATCTTGAGTCAACTGAGCAGTGTGAGGGGAAAGAGGAGGAAGGCCATGCAGATGACAACTCCTCTCTCCATAAAGACTCCCCAAAGACATGTTGCTCCCATAATCAGAATTTTGTAGCTCAGTCATGAAAAAGAAACAAAGCTAACTTCTACTCCTCTGCTGTCTGTGGATGTCTCTTTATATTTGTATATTTTAATTCTGTTTTGAGCCCAGTATACAGTCTCTAGTCATAAGTTCCCCAGGTAGCAAGTCCTTTGCAGGGAAACCAGGTTCTTTGTATCAGTTTGGCAAGAATATTAACCCATGGCTAGATAATTACGCCTTTTATCATTCCATTTGTGCCTTTAGTCTGGTGTATCCTTTTTTGTTTTGTCTCTCTTTCCCCCACTCTGTAAACCAGCAATAAGTAGCAAATGTGCAAGCTAGGAACTTTTTATTTATTTATTTTTTTCCTGTTCACACCTTATCAATGCTGAGACCTTTTTCGGACTTTATACATTTCACTAAATAGAGTGAAATGATAACAAGAACAGGAAGTAAAGTCATAACCTACCTGCGATACCTGAAGAGCTAAAGCAGAACAAATCTGCACTAAATGGTGATGATTATTGTAGCCTTGATTGAGTGGCAGCCGTATCTGAATAAGGCGTGACTAGTTCAGCTGACATTAACACAGCCCCTTCCAGATGACTTAGAACTTCAGTTACCAGACTTAGTAGCAAAGATGAGCAAAGGCTGACAGAGAAATCTGGGAGATTCAGGAGAGGGTTTTGGACACTTGTTCCACTCTTCTTCTCAATTCTCCCTAAATCAAGTGTGTCCAACCCTGGCAACTGTAAGACCTGTAGACTGCAACTCCCAGAATTCTCCAACCAGCATGGCCAACTGGGGAATTCGGGGAGTTGAAGGCCACAAGCCTTAAAATCACCAAGGTTGGACACCTCTGCCCTAAATGGTCTACCAGAAGTGGGCAGGTCAATCCTCATCCTTTCCATGACTTACATAATTCTAAGACTTTGTAGCACATTTCAGAGTTTTGCTCTGCTTCTCAATATTGTCCTTTTTTGCCTACATCCTTTCAGTTCCTGGAAATCTTAAGAAGACCATTCCAGCCGCACGTGTGGCATCTTCCAATGGTGTTGATGCTCCAGCATTGAAAGCTCGAACGCTGACTGGGATGGCATCTAAAACAACTACCACAGGTGTCCCAAAAAGGATAGCACATACTCCCACTCTGCAGGTGATGAATTGCCAGTATATGCTTCATAGTTAATTTTTCAAATTGAACACATGAAACATTCCCCTGTATGCTATTTTAGCCTTTAACTATTTTAGCCTTTAGCTTTAATGTATGGATGTCAAAGACTGTTGAAGAGATACACTTGTGCAAGATTGTGCTTCCTTTTGTTTCGTCTAGGATTTATCAGCCAGCTTTGCATATAAAAGGTATTTGAGTCATTCCTAGGAAGAATTTTGGATTATTTGAGAAGTCCCAATAAGGGAGAGAACATTTATAGCTCAGGGTTGAAATGAGGGGGTCCTTGGTGCTCTCTGAGTTTGGTTCTTTTCTTGCAGACGTTTCATTACCCAAACTAGGTAACATCTGCAGTGCTAGCAGCTGTAATGAAACATCTGCAAGAAAACAGCTAAGCTCAGAGAGTACCAAGGACCCCTATTTTGAGAAGTTTTATTTCGATCGTTTTGGGTGTTTGAAAAAAAAAACACCACATCAACCAAATTTGATTGAGTCACCAATGAACAAGTCAATCGATGATGATCTTGTGAGCTGTTGGATACTGCAGAAAGTTGACCATTAGACCACATGTAGCTCATAGCTCATATATAGCTTAGTAGAAGAACCAATCACAGGGAGGAAAGGCATTGTAGTAACTGTGCTATCAAAATAGCTTATTTTCTTCCTCCCTTTCCATGTTCTCTAGAGCACCACCTTGAAAAGGCCAGTTATTCCCACAGAATACGGTGCCAAAGTTCCCACCAACATCCGTCAGAGGTACCTCAACCTCTTCATTGATGAGTGCTTGAAGTTCTGCCCCTCACAGCAGGGAGCATTTGACAAGGTTTGTGTTTTTGTAATGGTAATCATAGGAAGGGATGCATGAGCATCTTCCAATTCTTATAGTTTGCACTTCTTTAACTGTAGGCCCAAAAGATAGAGGGATTGAATCACTTAAAAAAAATGGAAGTTCACTGAGCAAACATATTTGCAAGTTCAAAGTTAGGACAGCCAGCCCAATGTTGAGCTTCCTGTTTGAATAGTAAGAGGATCACAGGTCTACATTTCTTGCCTTATTTTTAGAAGTACTATTCCTGGTGTTACGAACACAGGTAGTCCTCAAGTTACGACCGCAAGTGAACCCAAAATCTCCATTGCTAAGCAAGGCAGTTGTTAAGTGAGTTTTGCCCCATTGTATGACCTTTCTTGTCTAGTTGTTAAGTGAATCACAGCAGTTGTTAAATGAATAACACTGTTGTTAAGGGAATCTGGCTTCCCCATTGCCCTTGTTTATCAGAAGATCTCAAAAGATGACCATATGTGACTCTGGGACACTGCGGTCATCAGAAGTACATCTAGTTGTCAAGTGCTTGGATTTTGATCACATGACCATGGGGATGCTGCAACAGTTGTAAGTGTGAAAAACGATCATAAGCCACTTTTTCCGGTGCCATTGTAACTTTGAATGGTTGATAAACGAATGGTTGTAAATAGAGGACTACTTGTAGAAACACTTGTCTTTTTTTTCCTGCTTATCCCTGTCTATTAATATTTGACCATTCTCCTGGTGGCATTGGAAGCCACCTAATATATATGAACATAACAGTTCTCCCTAGCCTGGGAACTGCTCTTTCCTGCCTTAGCAACTTCATTTTGTATATTAAAACTCCAAAATGCTGATGGTGGGAATGCTGTTCACAGGCTCTTGCTGAGGAGAAGGTGGTGTATGAGCGCAGCACCAGCCGCAACATCTACCTGAATGTGGCGGTAAACACTTTGAAGAAGCTGAGGACTCTGTTGCCCAGCCCTTCTCAGGGAGTTCAAAGTATGTACTTAGACTTTACTTTTTGCTTACAGACTGAAGGTTCTCTGCTACTTTACGTTTCGTTTGATTCTTTCCTTATACTCTCAAACCTCCATTTCTAAACATTTGGAGCTTCTTAACAAAACACACTTCAGGTTTGCTCAATAGACTGGATAAAAAAACTGCCTACCAATCCAACAGGACATAATTCTGTGGGCAAAACTTTCATAATACATCTCTTGGCCAGCCCTATAATATCTGTACAAGTAGAGGCAGTTCGCTGGTTGCACTGCAGTGTTATGCCATACATCGGCCCCAGTCTTGCCCACAAACTCCTGCCATTACAAATGTTAGTTAGCGCATTGGCAAAGGGGGTATATGATGTTAACCCTAAAATAATTATGGGACCTATTATCACTTCTTCCTAAGCTTAATTCGTAGCATGTGGGCCTTGACTTTTAAAGCAGTCAGCGAATGGAGACCTGTGTAGCACTTTCATTGACTCAGAAATTTTATTTGTGGTTGACCCAGGAGGTTTGCTGACGTTCTACTTTTGACACCTGCCTTTTCCTTCCAGAGGCCAGCAATAGGAAAGTGGTTTCTCATGAAGCTATGCTAGGAGGGAAACTGGCAGCCAGGACCAGTTACACACTTAATCGTTCTACAAGCTTACGGCTAGAAGACCTGACAGGTAGGTTTCCCCATTTTTGTCATGGCACACAGTGACCATGGTGTGTGTGTGTGTGTGTGTGTAATTCTATTCCTTTCTGTCTGTTTTAAAGACCTTCAGATTGATTTTAGAAGTAGCCTGATTGTTTTTCAGCATCAGAGAACTGATAGGATCAGTGCTGAAAGCCAATCCAGAGCTATTTAAAACTATAAAGAGCACAGAAAAGCTGTGGAGAAGAATGGGCTGAGGTCACTTTTTAGAGGCTCATTGATGCATGGTGCATGCGATTCTTCTAAATGTCCCCCTTCAGTTTGACCAGGTTTTACCCTGTAGGTAGGGCATTTCATGATAAAAGTGCAATTAGCCCAAAGGAATGGTAAACGTTTCTCTCACACATATGTGGTAGTTGTTCCCGACTCTAGGGGGTGGTGCTCATCTCCGTTTTAAAGCCGAAGAGCCGCCGCTGTCTGAAGACGTCTCCGTGGTCATGTGGCTGGCATGACTAAACGCCAAAGGCGCATGGAACACTGTTACCTTCCCACCAAAGGTGGTCCCTATTTTTCTACTTGCATTTTTTACGTGCTTTCGAACTGCTAGGTTGGCAGAAGCTGGGACAAGTAACGGGAGCTCACCCCATTACGCGGCATTAGGGATTCGAACCGCTGAACTGCCAACCTTTCAATCTACAAGCTTGGCGTCTTAGCCATTGAGTCACCGCGTTCCTATAAATTAACCCAAAGTAAGCCTGTTATCCAGTTAACAACGTTCTACAATCCGTTGGAGAAATTATAAGTGATCTAACCTGCGTCAGTTTTGTATGTGGATAAAGCATTAGCTCTGAAGCAAAACAAGTTGCTTTTTTATCAATCACATAAACGTTTGATAGATATTCCAGGTCTGTATGGGGGAAAAAATAATCCTTCAAGTTGCATGGTCCTAAGTTGTGAATGTGATGTCTTTGCAAATGCATTCTGTCTCATTGAGAGAGAAGAGGAGAAGGCTTATTTCAAGCAGGCAGCCGCTTATTAATGTTCATGAGAAATTACCATTTGGCTGAATTGGTATCAGCAGTTAGCACTTCATGATTCTTCGCTTATAGAATGGATTGTCTAAAACAATGAAGGTTTGGTACAGAACCCTCAATATCCACAGATATGTCGATGGGATCTAAGACGTCTTGTAACTAAAAGGGAAAAAAGCTCAGGTCAAAGTAGATAACTCAGTAGTGTTAAACCTGCAGCAATTACGAAAAAGGAAAATCCTCCGCTGAGGATCATTAGGAAACAGATCAAACAACCTGAAGCCTTGAATACCTTTCCTTACGAGAAAAGGCTAGAATACAGGTAGTCCTCGAGTTATGACCACAATTGAGCCCAAAATTTATGTTGCTAAGTGAAACATTTTGTTAAGCGAGTTTGCCCCATTTTACAACTTTTTTTGCCTCAGTTGTTAAGTGAATCATTGTATTTGTTAAGTGGGTAACATGGTTGTTAAGTGAATCTGGAATTCTCCATTGACTTTGCTTGTCAGAAGGTTGCAAAAGGTGATTGCATGACCCCAGGACATTGCAACCGTCATAAATATGAACCAGTTGCCAAGCCTCTGAATTTTGATCATATGACCACGGGGATGCTGCAACAGTCGGAAGTCTGAAAAATGGTCATAAATCACTTTTTTTCAGTGCCGTTGTAACTTCGAACGGTCACTAAATGAACTGTCATAAATCAAGGACTACCTGTATAGAGAAGGTGATTGCAGTAGAAAATGTTTAAGGCAGGGCTCTCCAACCAAAGCTGGCTGAGGAATTCTGGGAGTTGAAATCCACAAGTCTTAAAGTTGCCAAGGTTGGAGACCCCTGCCTTACGGTGTTTAAAGTCTGATACGTCATGAAGAAAATGGACATAAAGATCTTTTTGCTTCCTCTCTTAAGGGATTGTGCAGTGAAATTGAATGGAAGGAAATTTAGATGAGACAAAGAAAGTGCTTCTTCCTATAGTACATAATTAATCTGGGATTCTTTGCAGTTGAAGCAAAAAGGACACAGTAATGGCCATACACAGGTAGTCTCCAACATATGACCATAATTAAAGGCCAGAATTATGCTCATACGTTGTGGTCATTAAGTGGCTCACGCCTGATTTTGCAAGGATTTTTGCAGCAGTCATGAAGCAAATGTCACAGTTAAGCAAAAGTCATTAAGTGAACCTATTTTCCCCAAAGGACATTTTTTGCTGGAAACCAGAAGTAAACATTGACTACATATTTTTATCATACGTGTACAGAATAACCGAATAACAGAATTGGAGGGGACCTTGAAGGTCTTCTAGTCCAACCCCCTGCTCAAGTACCATAGCATTACATGCTCTTTCTATATACTGTTATCTATGTGCTTTATGTCAGATGCTAAATAAATACATCAAAACGCAGCTAAAACTGCTGAAAAGTATGGTCAGGTGACCATGGGATCCTGCAAACGGCCATAGAGATTGGCCACCTGGGGGCAGGGGTAGTCATCAGAACTTCATCAGAACTTCGAAAACAGGTCATAAATAGCACTGGGGAAGTCTGTCCATCAAACAGTTGCTAAGCAACCAGTTGTTAGGGGAGGACTACCTGTAAACTTAAATTCATGAAGGACAAATCTATCAGGATTAGCGTTATTTCTGTCTTGGGGAGAGCCCATCTTGGAATCCCATGTATTGGAGGAACAAAATTACAAGAGGGCTAGTGTCTCCATCACCCCAGAGGAAATGACCACCATAAGAAACAAAATGCTGAACTAGCACAGGCCTTTAACAGTAACAGAGTTGGGAAGGGACCTTGGAGGTCATCTAGTCCAACCCCCTGCTCACGCAGGAGACCTTTCTGATCGACAAGCTCAGTGTCTTAGCCACTGAGCCACCTAGCCAGGCCTTGGCCTAGTCCAGCTGGATTGCTCTTATAATGGTCTCTGTAGAAAGAACTGCCTGGCGTTTCTTCTCAGCATTTCCCCGCTCCTTCTCCCCCCCTCCTCCATGCTTAGATCTGCCTTTGCTTTGGTTTTATGCTGCTTCAACTGCAATTACCATTTTGTTGCTGCGTAAGCTGTCCTGAATATTTCCTTGTGTGTGTGTGTGTGTGTGTGTGTGTGTATGGTATTGGTCTGAGAATAGCTAGAGAAAATGGCTGGATAAACATTTCCTCAGCTTTGTCATTCTCAGGGGCTACCTTGTACCGAAGGCTCAAGGAGTATGTGCTGACAGAGGATGACTTGAAGGAGCATGGCTACCCGTTACCCTGTCCCGAGAGACCTGGCCGGGCTGTTGTCTTTGCTGCGGAAGAGAAGAAAATGACTGATGGTGAGTTCTGCTGGATCGGAGAATTTCTGACTCTTGAGAACCATTCAGATGTCCTGTTTTAATGGGGAAGAAAAAGGGAGGCCAGAAAAGGAACCTCCTCAGCCAGTTTATTTCCCTTCAAGGCAGACATCTACCCTGACTGCTTGTGGATGGGATCTTTAATGAGCTTTTAAACATATTCTGAAGCTACCTACTGTAGATATTGTTATTTTTTTGCATATAGACCCTCTCTTCCTTCCTGTGCTAAACCCTGAGAATATTTTAATCCTTTGTCATTTGTGACTTCTATAACTTCTTCTTCTTATTGTGCCATATCCATCATCAGATGTTGGCGATCCTATTTTTATCAATATCCGCACAAAAAAGTGCTGTTGAGTTTTGTCCAAACCAGTCCTTTAGATTTTGAAGCCATGATGATGTTCTTCTGCCTGGACCTAGTTTGCCTTTAATCTTTCCTTGGAGGATCAAGTGAAGTATGCTGTATTTTTCTGGATGTCGCATCACATGATCAAAATATTCTAACTTTCGCTTTTATACTTCTATAACTTCTATAATTTATGACGTCTATAACGGCAGGTCATATTTAAATAGGTTCGTGCAGAACTCTGTACCTGCTGTCTGCAGCATCAAACTGGGATGAGCAGTGTGTTCACCTTTGCACCAAATATGATTGAAAAAATGCAGGGTAATGCCAGTGAGGAACATGTTGTGGTGTCCATTGTGGTCCCCTGGATTCTTGTCTCGGGTGTTGTGTGTACACACAAATCCTCTGGACCTAATGAGGAGTATGGTGGTTGGAATACATAGGAGGGAAAAGCAGGAGGAGATTACAGATGGCTGTCCTGTTTATAAGGTTGCTTCCCTGGCTAGGCTTCAAGATATTCAGACTAGTCCTGCAGTTCTTCTCTTGAATTGCTAAGGAATTTCAGAGGTGCAGTCAAAGGAACTATAGGAAGTCCTTGACTTACAACCATAACTGAGTATAGAATTACAGTTGTAAGTCATTGAAGTCGAAAATCAAGGTCATCATGTGACCGCCGGACTCAATATTTTTATACAGGTAGCCAGCCATATGCAGCTCTTGAGGCTTCAGTTGGCACGTCCTGCAGGGATAAAACAGAACTGTCTTGTTTTCATAGATTTCAGTCTTTTTATATTAGGGATACCCTGATTGAGGTAACACCCGCTTAGGTCTTCCTAAATTGAATTACTGCAAACATTTTCTGCCAAGAAAAACAAAACTTTTCTCCAGAATAAAAGTAGAAGTTGATGTCGAAAGTGCGTTTTAATTATTCAGTTTAATGTTCTGAACAAATAGTTCTCAACTTACAACCATTCATTTAATGACCAAAGCTACAACAGCACTGAAACACGTGATTTATTAAGACCAGTCGTCATACTTACAACTTTATCAGCATCCCCACAGTCACCTGAACTAGATTCAGGCGCTTGGCAACAGGCATGTATTTATGACGATGGCCACATCCTGGGATCATTTGTAACTTTCCCAGCCGGCTTCCAATAAGTGAAGTCAGTGGGGGAAGCTGGATCGTTTAATGGCCACATGATTCATTTAACTGCAGTAATTTGCTTACCGTGGTAAAAAAAAAAGGAAAATGGGGTGCAGCTCACTTAACAAATGATTTGCTTAGCAATAGAAATTGTAATTGCATGTCAAGTATTACCTGTACTTGATTTCTTTCGTTATTTCTCAGTCCTTGACGCAGTTGTTCCTCATACCACAAGGTGGCAAGCGGCTGAATCTCTTAACAACTTGTCTAATGGGAGTCTGTGTTTTTGATGGGCTGGGGAAAAAAACAACCAATGCAATGTTTGAATATTGGTTAGAAACAGTTCATAGATGAGAGCAAAATAGCATTGGCTCTTCAAATGCCACTTGATACAATCAGTAGAGTCACCCTTGCAGATGAGTTCAAGGGCTTCTGTTTTGATGAATTCCCAAACAGTATGATCCATTTATCTCATTGGGAGAAAATAGAAGAATTTTTTTAAAAAGAAAGAGTGTTTTAGGTAGATATATGAGAATGGACTGAGGGCCAAAAATCTATATTTTTAACACACTCCTTTTTCTTCTGTAAGGTTCTTGCAGGATTTGTTGTCGTTGTGGCACAGAATACATGGTATCACCTTCCGGAAATTGTGTCCGTAAAGAAGAATGCATCCATCACTGGGGGAAATTGCGCAAGCAAAGAGGTAATAGTTTACTTTTTTAAAATATATATATATATATATTCATTCTCCAATGGAATTCAAAGTGCACAATATTGATTTTTATTCTCACAAGAAACCTGTGAGGTTATGTACAGGTAGCATTTTGCAAGCTGCTTTGAGAGCTCAAGACAACTAGGTTTTAGATCTCTGCTCATGGCCATGAGTTTATCCCGTTCTCTAGTAGCAACGGTCACATAGTCAGGTTGCATGTTGGATATTGGAGGCCAATGAAAAAAACGAGAGAAGCATCACATTTGGCTCAAAGGTGCTTTTTCAAAAGGCAGCTGGACTGTTTTTTGAGAAAGAAGACGATGTTTCGCTTCTCGTCCAAGAAGCTTCATTCGTTGTGACTGGATGGTGGGGGAGATGGAAGGATAGGATCCCCTCACAGTCCAGGCACAACGGATGAAGTTTCTTGGATGAGAAGTAAAAAGTCTTTTTCTTCTTCAAAAAGCAGTCCAGTTACTTTTTGAAAAAGCACCTTTGAGACAACCATGACCTGGATGATGTGAATCTCCACAGACATCACATTTTGGCATTATTTGTTCCCTCAGACTCTGCTTATATATCAAGAGGGCTTCCATGAAGCTCAAAAAACATCCAGTAGCAAAGATTTGCACACATTTTAGGAAGAAAAATCCCAAATGAGTAAATATTCATTCAGAGCACTTTATAACATGCAAGGTTATTGTTGTCTTAAGTAAGAAGCATAGGGACACAATTGAAAGGCAATAAACACAGTTATGTTTGTGGTGGAAACAAAATGGGATCCATTTCATCAGAATCACCTTAGCTGGGACCGATTGTCATCAAACCCCACTCCTCCAAGAACTAGTTCGTAATCCTTTTAGAGATTATTTAAATGATATGGTTTACAAATATTTCAGAAGTAAAGTCTACTTTAGCTTTCTGTGTTCATTACGTAATTGTTCATGCTACTGTTTCCTTTCTTTTTTCTTTAGCATCGTTTTCCTAACCTGCATCTTCATTATAAGTAATGATTTTAAACATAACCCTCCCCAAGTAGTTTGAGAGAAAGGAATTGTGTTAGTATTAAAATCAGTATTATTTCAATCAGGCTAGTTTTGGTTAATCTTTAATTGGAGGTTATGTGCGCAGTGAGGATTTCCCATTTAGCCGTTCTCTCTCTGTCTCTCTCTCTCTTTTGCAGTACGAGGTGGCTGGGAAGCACATTATAGCTGTTGTTCGGGAGCCGTAGGTTCACTTGGATGCCAAGTTGCAAAAGTATGTACCCATGTTAGGTCAAACCATGAAGTACCAGGTGAAGTGGACTACCTTCTCTCCGAGTATAGTCACAGTTTTGCCATTTTGATCTCTGTTTCATGGAAGATGCTTTGGAGATGCTTTTCAAGCATTGCTTTGGCTTGAGAAAAAAACACATGGCCCCTTCTATGAGCTATTCTCTATAGCAATAGGACAAAAATATTTAATTTATTATTAAATTTGTGATAGCCGTCTAATCCATTAGACCCGGGATGTTCAACCTTGGCAATTTTGAAGACTTGTAGATTCAACTCCCAGAATTCTTGAGCCAACATGGGAGTTGTCTTTATTGACTTTATTGACTTTAAAGTTATTGACTTTAAATAAGTCTTTAAAGACTTATTTTAAAGTCGTCAAGGTTGGATACCCCTTTAAAGTTGTCAAGGTTGGATACCCCTCCATTAGAGTTTGGATGGCCTACAAAATCCAGCAAACAGTAAAAACACATACCCATATAAATGGCCCAAACTAAAACCATCAGAATGTCAACAGATACAACAGAACCCCAGAAATACATCAACACGCACAAATGCAGGTTTTAAGGGCTTTCCAGAACCCCAGGAGAAGGGGTGCCATCTGTATCTCTCAGGGAATGCTGTTCCATAGGTAGAGACAGAGAAGGCACACTTCCTCAGTCCCACAAGATGGCAGCATTTAATAGAGAGGAGCTGTTCAGACATACTGGGTTGTATGAAACAGTTGGAGATACGCAGTCCCTCAGAAAACAAGGTTCTGTGCCATGAAGCACATGGCCCATTATATCAAAAATACTTCCTGTTCTTCTACTGTGAGTATTGATTTCATCCAATTAGTCATTGTGACTTGTTCATCTTCCGCACACTGATTACCCATGAATTTTCTGTAAGAGCTTGAGATGGAAGCTCAGAACGGGGCCCCGGCTATTGAGGACAATGCTGCAGTCTCAATCAAGGTAACACTTTCCCCAAATAGAAGGGGAGAGATCAAAGAATCACAGAATGTAAGGTCTGAGAGGGATCTTTGAGGTCATCTAATCCAACCATGTGCTCAGTGCAAGAGTCTACTACTGTAGTATCTCGTGTTTCCCCTAATCTAGACAAGGCATACCCAATACCACCACCTCATTTTTTTCCCTCTAGGGCTGGTATCATCTAAGTTCCTCTCTGCTGAACACATTCCAGTTTAAAATATCAACCTGGTGCTTGTGAGTGTGATCTAAACAAAGGCTTATCTTGATATTAATACTAGGCTTTGGTTGATGCAGCCTAGGTCCGTGTACTTTTTTTCAGCTGGGTCATGCTGTTAGCACGTGTTCTCCCCCACCTCCCATCCCAAAGCTATAATTCAGAGTATATCATAATTACATAGTAACCCTGGTCACAGTATGATGACATCCACAGAACTTTCCATGACAAAGAATAAGAGAAACTGGTGGCAGGAGAAGGAAGTAATTCTGTTCAGGCCCGAGGCTGCTGCATTCCTTGAGGATATGGGCTTTTCCACCATCTGTGAGAAAGACTGTGGCTCAATGCCTTTAGAAGGATATAGAAATTGAGCTGTGAGGAAACTAAAGGCGATCAGATCTTTTTCCTCTCCAGAGATTTTAGTCCACACCTCTCTAGGGATGTGTAAAAAGTTTTTGTGTTCAAAACCGACGCTCCTGAGAGCTGACCTGATACATCCCCATTTTCAAGTTAGCCTTTTCCACTGTAAAGATGATGGAATATTAGGCCCACCATCAAGGTTCCTTTTCTACATTATACAAATGAAACTAACAAAATGTTAAAAGGTTACGATATTTATGTAATGCGGTGGCACAGTGGTTAGAGTGCAGTACTGCAGGCCACTTCTGCTGACTGCTGGCTGCTGGCTGCCTGCAATTTGGCAGTTCAAATCTCACCAGGCTCAAGGTTGACTCAACCTTCCATCCTTCCGAGGTGGGTAAAATGAGGATCCAGATTGTTGGGGGACAATATGCTGACTCTGTAAACTGCTTAGAGAAGGCTGTAAAAGCACTGTGAAGCGGCACATAAGTCTAAGTGCTATTGCTACTTACCAAGCACATCTAAATTATATTAAAGTAATCAAAATATCTTTACAATCCCCAAGGCATGTCACAACTTTTGAGCACCCCTCATGTTTATAAATTGAAAGTTGAAAAATTTGATAACGCCCTAAATTGTAGAATACATCCTGTTCTCCCCTGAGGCATCTCAGTTTTGCTGTTTGAAAGGATTATTCTCCAGATGCATTTGTTATTTTCTGTGTTGTTCCCTTGGATGTTCTTGAGAACGTCTTGTCAGTTTTTAAAAAAATTCTGTAATAATGCGAGGGTGTTCTCTTTCACTCTTGTAATTGTTATTGATCTTTCAATTCTATATTATGGAGCAAGTCAGTTTTCAGTCTTTTCTCCAGCCACCCTAAAAAAAGAAATCTTTACTTCCAATATTGTGTCTACTTAGGTTGGCATTTTGCAAGATCACTAGTCTGCTAACTAAAAGTGGGCAAGATTGGAGACCTCCTGATTAAATTTGTCCAGGGATAGCCTTTTTGTAACACCTCTTTAATTCTCCCCCACTCTCACCTTAAGCAACATGTCCATGATGGCCGGAAGGAAAGTCTGGAAGGTTTTGTGAAGACGTTTGAGAAGTTGACAAGGGCAGATGGGCATCCTGGCATCTACGCCTTGGATTGTGAAATGGTAGGTTGGCTGGGCATACAGAATAATGTTAAGGATTTCATCTTTCACCAGGAATATATATTTAAATTTTGTGCCCCAACAATCCAGTATATTTGTATGGAAACAACTTTGATACCACTGTGTACACTTAACGAAGAGCTTGAGTAACGTAGAAAGGGTTTTCTAAGTAAAACAAGGCTGTTGAGATTCAAGAGGAGGCAAGGACATAAATCAGGATGTGATTAAAGAAGCCAGGATAGTGGCCACGATGGCACAATTAAAGCCCCACATGTTTGTAGAAGTAGAAACCCCTCCACTCAACTGAAAAAATGGTGAGAAGGCAGTCCCAGAAGAATACAGTTAGGAAGACTGATTGTGCTCAGAGTCCACAAAATGTTGCCTGCCTCGGGTTCAGGGAAAGGTTTCAGGGGAAGTGTAATACGCTGGTGTGTTCTGGAAGAGGGAGGAATCTAGAAGCCTGAACCAAAATTTCATCACATTTTCATAATGTGTGTGTTCGCAGAATTGATTTTTTTTAAAATTCTAGTTTGAGCATTATTGAGAGGGGCTAAGGCACAGAAGGGACATATGTCCCTTCCCCAAGCTGGTGCCTTTTAGCTTTGTTGATGCTGCATCCCTTAGTATCCCTATCAATCTAGCTCTGCTGGTTTAAATTTTAGAAGTTGCAGAATCCATACGTCTGGGGAACAGGTGGGGTGGGCTATCAGGGCAGAGGGATTATTGATACTAAACCCTAGCTCTGAAAGTTACTGTAGAGATAAAATATAGAGTGGAAGGTACCAATTACAATTTCTGAACTCCTCAGAAAGAAGGCAGAATAGAAATGTGGTTAAAACAAGGCATTCCGAGTCCCACATCTAAATTACTAGAAACATTTTTGAATCCTTTTCCCCCTGATTCTTTTTCACATCTTTCTATTAGATTGCAAAATTGGCTGGGGTCTATTGAATGAATGGCTGCTGTTGTCCAACGGCTGGTGGGAACCCTTCCTAAAACATGCTTTCTTTTGTGTCTCTCGTATCTCGTCTTCTGCAGTGTTACACTAAGCAAGGGTTAGAGCTGACGCGTGTCACTGTGATCAACTCAGAACTGAGAGTGGTCTACGATACCTTTGTCAAACCAGACTCCAAAGTTGTGGATTACAACACTCGGTGAGGGCCCACAAAGTATGAAAGAGCATGAGGATTGTTAACAAAAAAAAGCTATGTGTTTGGTGTCAGCAGTTGAGCGGCCAGAGTACCTACTAAGCACCTGAGTCTTTAGAGTTGCCTGCTGAAAATCTGAAAAGACAGCCACATGGAGGAAGTTAGGCCCGCAGCAGGTGCCAGTCCCACCCACCCATCTAGGCTAACTTCCTCCATGTGGCTTTCTTTTCAGAGTTTCAGCAGGTGATCTTTATTTTTGAATTTCAGATTCACTGCCTTGTTCTCTACTTGTCCTGCTATGTGAATCAGAAAAAAAAATTAATTCCAAAAATTAATTTGCACTCCCAAACCGTTGATCTGTCCAGATCACATTGCCCCAAGAAATGAGAACCGAGTATTTTTCCTATGGAGGAACCTGCTTTTCGTGTTTCCTTCTTGAGTTACTGTTCTGAACTTTGTTTTTTCCAATAAGACAGCACCTTTTGTGGCGATATTTGCAAACCTATAACATCGAGGAGATGTCAGAGGGCCCTGTGACACATGTGGGTACTGTAGTGCTGCATTTCAGGAGGAAGTTGAATTTGTGGTGTTTCTACATTCCTGCCCGTATTACAGTTTTTCTCTATTTCCCAATACAAAATGGTGGGGAAGCTTGGCTTCTGCTTTTAGCCGTCATCCTCAGAGTGCTGCCTAAAAGAAACCAGGATCCATTTTCCTTGAGGTTTTGTGAAAGAAAAGGGAGGAGGTTCTCTGAGCAGGAGTTAGCCTACTCCTAGCTAGCTAGCACATGTGAGGGGTGGTAATCATATGTCTGAAAAGCAGCAGAATTTAAAAAATCCCAAAATCCCACCTGATGATACCAACCTTTCCTTGGCAGGTTTTCGGGTGTGACAGAGGCAGATCTGGAAAATGCATCGATAACTCTTCGGGATGTTCAGGCGGTTCTCTTGAGTATGTTCAGCACAGACACTATCCTGATAGGCCACAGTTTAGAAAGTGACTTGTTTGCACTAAAGGTAAATGTTGCATGGAAACACATGCATGTTTTATGTACACTCTTCCCCTGAAATGATGGCCGTGGCTAGTTTATGGGCAAATCCCCCTTCAAACCCATTGCCTTCTCTGGCTGAACTTTTAAGACGCACTTCTTTGAAACATATTGTCGAGCCCGAAACCCTGCTCGACAATGCAAGGACGGGATGGCAGAGTGGTGGAGGATACTGACCAACAGAGCGTGTTAAGGGATGCACCTATTCAAGAGACCGGTGGTGGTGGCACTGTAGATAGGCGGTCGATTGTGGGGCTGCTGAGCGTCGGGATTAGGGCTCGGGCAACGACTGCTGCTGGGACGAGCGTTTGGCAATGACTGCTGCTGGCGAGACACAAAAATGGGGGCACGAAGACGGAATCCGGAGACGCTGCCGCTGTCAGTACGGAACGCCGAGGGACCAACGCCCTGGGGAGCCAGAGCCAGAGCAAACGCCCTGCAGCTGATGGGTGCTTCCCCAATCACATGGAGCCGGGGAGGGGCAGGATAATAAAGGGTGCTACGAGGCAGCTGCTTGTAGCGCCAATTTTGAAACGTTTAGGCTCAGCGTCTCTTCGATGTTACAAACGGCATTAAACCAGCATTGCCCCCCGCCCCCAACTACATGCCTGTGTTTTCCTGTTGTTTTCGGCTAATTCGAGTGAAGGAACTGAGAGAAAATTGGCGCTCCCTTCATTACAGCCTCCTTTTTGCTTTAAGATTCGATAGTTGGAATGGTGGAGGGGGTGGACCCTGAGGCGGCAATGCAGCCAGCGACCCAGACAGAGGACGAAAGCCCAGAGGTGGTGGCTCCATCCGACCTCCAGCCTGTGGTGAGGCTAAAAGAACGTCCTCCAAAACAAGACGGAGAGGGAGTTGAAGCTGCAGTTGCGAAGGGAGAGGAACTGCAGTCTGTTTCAGGGGAGTGGTGGCATAGCTCGGTGTGGAATAGGTATGAAGGCTCCTCTCCCCTCCCCTGCTGGTGAGCCTTTCCAAAGGTGGAGAGATAGAAGATGGGTGGAGGATGAGGAAGGGGGAGAATGGAGCTATTCAACAGGGCCAGCACCTTCTACCATGGATATTTTGGGGGACTGATTTGGAGAGGCTAGCTTCCGGAATGCTCCCTCCTGGCAACCGTGGGCGACGGCTTGAACCAGCATCCACCTGGCATGGTGCAGTGGGATCATCTGGGTCGGACTTCGGTTCCCGATTCCGGTTAGCTAGTCCTAAATTGCGGCTTGACTCCGCTCTCGGTAAACCCAGGAAGATGGACCAACCAGGCATTGGGACCCGTTTTTCCTCGTTGGAAGAGAGGTCAGAGCCTCCTGACCGGGCTGGACGTAGCGCCCCGGCGCAACTATTGAGAGACAGCGGACAAACTGGCCCAAGACAGTTATCTGAGGCACAAGGGCCCCATGCACCTTGGGCGCTGGCATTGGGGTATCACGGGCAAGCCTATATGTGGGCCCCTGGGCCATGGCCTCCTCAAGCGATGTGGGGCCCACCGCCCTTACAAGCGATGTTTGATGGGAGCCCGGATCGTGTAGCCATTTTTTTGAGTCAAGTCATTAGTTATATGGACTTGTATGGTCGCTTCTACCCATCCCAGTGGGCGATGGTGGTGGCCATCACAACAGTATTGAGGGGGGAGGCAGAGGACTGGGTGGCTGACCTCCACAGTGACCATGCCCGTGAGTTAACGGATGTGGGTTTATTTTTGGAAAGCTTGAGGGTCCGCTTCGAGGACGAATCCTGTACGCAACAGGCTGAAGGGAAACTGGTGACTCTGAAGCAGGGGGGCTGTCCCGCACGGGAGTACGTGAAGGACTTTCGAGCTATTGCGGGGAGGTTACGAGCGTGGCCAGAGCGAATGCTAGTGCACCAGTTTCATTTAGGCTTAGACCGTGAGTTACGGCAAGCCTGTGTTTATAGAGGCCTACCACCCTGCTTAACAGAGTGGTTTCGAGCGGCCATTGATTTAGATATTGGCCTAAGGGAGTTTCAGGTCAAGGGAGTGTCAGGGACAGCACCGCCACCAAGACGGGTCCCCGATAAACTCCCTCCTACCAGGGACTCCGGAAAACCAGGTTTTCCCACGTGGACTTCAGGGGCCACGCGGAAGAGCCCCTTCTGATGTTTCAGATGTAACCAAGTTGGACATAGGGCTCTGGACTGTCCATTCCCTCCACCGTAACCTGCTAAGAGCTGCACTCCAACCAGTACTGGAAGTGGAAAGGAACTTGCCCGTATGACCCCAGAAAAGTCCAGGGTGGCGTTGCAAACCTTGCCTGCAGAGAGTAGCATGCCTACCAAAGAACCTGGCGGAGCGACGAGACCTGAAGTCTTATCTGGGATACTCGGTGACAGTGATGAAGAAGACGTCCACGATCCAATGGTGAGTGTGCCCATATGCCCTTTCATCATCCCGGTTACCCTTCGAAACCCACGTACCGCTAAGGAGGTACGACAGGAGGCCTTGATTGATTCCGGGTGCATTCGTCGTTTAATGCGGACTTCCTTGGCGATCCAACTGGGCCTTCAGTTGACGCGGTTGAAGGAGCCTATCCGATTCGAGCAAATGGATGGGTCCCTTTTGGGGGGATAACTGGCTACGTGTGTAACAGAACCATACGCCTAGAAATAGGGGAACATTGGGAACACCTCAGGTTTGTGGTAGTTGATGTAATAATAGAACCTATCATTCTGGGCTTAGCCTGGTTAGATAAGTGGAAACCCACAATTTGGTGGGAGGGAGGATACCAGAAATTGTGTCTTGAGCTTGGGCCTAATCTAATGGGGGAGGAATTCAGTAAACGAACCAACGAAAGTCAACCCATACCTCCTTCACTCGTCACTAACCCTGTGGGGATCCCAGAGGTATATGCGGACTTGACAGCAGTTTTCAGCGAAGTAGAATGTGACTCATTACCACCATACTGGACAACGGATTGTGCCATCGAATTACTATCCAGGGTTAGACTACCTAAACCCCAAATGTATTCGATGACCCCGAAGGAGCTAGAGCAACTCCACAGATACATAGACAAGAACCTAGCCAGGGGGTTTATTAAACAGAGTAGAGCGCATATGGCTGCCCCGGTATTATTCAGGGAGAAAAAGGACGGGGATCTGTGTCTCTGTGTTGATTTTCGTGGTCTGAACGCTGTAAGCGTAGAACCGTTGTATCCCTTACCCCTGATAAAAGACCTCTTAGCTACTTTGTCAACAGGTCGCATTTTCACCAAATTAGACTTGAGGGAGGCATACTACCACATTCGTATAAAACCAGGTGACGAATGGAAGACCACCTTTAATTGCACACTTAGCAGTTATAAGTTCCAAGTCATGCCGTTCGGTTTGCAGGGAGCCCCAGCATCCTTCATGCAGTTAATTAATGAAGTAGTGCATGAGCACCTATATAGGGGGGTGTTGGTATACTTGGACAATATCCTCATCTATTCTGACACCATGGAGGAACATACACAGCTAGTTCATCAGGTACTCGAAAAACTCTTAGCAGCCAAACTATTTGTCAAAGTGTCAAAATGTGAATTTCATCGAACTGAACTAGATTATCTGGGGTATCGGATCTCCAAAACAGGTCTAAAGATGGACCCAAAAAAAGTATCTATGGTGTTAGAGTGGCGGGCTCCAGGGACGAGGAAACAACTGCAAAGTTTCCTCGGTTTTACCAATTTTTACTGGCAATTTATCCCGGCGTTCGCCCATATAGCATTACCGTTTACCGATCTACTTCACACAAAGGGGAGTGCCACACAAATAAAACCGAGTCAACATATAACGTGGACTCTTGAGTGTCAGAAGGCGTTCGATGCTTTAAAGGCCATCTTCGCTCAGGAGCCCGTGCTCCAACACTCCGACCAGCAGAAGCCATTCGTAGTGCAAGCAGATGCAAGCGATGTAGCTGTCAGGGCGGTACTGTTACAGGACAGTGGGCAGGGCCACCTACAGCCGTGTGCATATACATCCAAAAAATTCACCAACACAGAATGAGTGTGGGCTGTATGGGAAAAGGAAGCATTCGCAGTTCGTTGGGCGCTCCTTACCTGGTGTCACCTCTTGAAGGGGGCGAGAGAACGATTCAAAGTCTGGATGGATCACAGAAATCTGATAGCCCTACATACCCCCAGGAAGCTCTCACCAAAACAAGTGCGATGGGCTCAGTATTTCCAGCACTTTAATTTTGTCCTGAAATACGTGCCAGCAGGAAAAAACTTTTTGGCTGACGCACTGTCCCGTATGCCTCAATTCCATAGCAAACGGGATGAGATAGTACAGGCCATGATACCCAGTCTATACCCACTGGGGGAGACATTGGTTACATTTGACACGCCTCCGGGGTGGGAGGAGAGTATCCGAGCTGCCCTAAAAATAGATGTGTGGGTGCAAAACAATAGACAGATAGTCACCTATAGAGACAGATTGGCATGGAAGGGAGATAAGTTGTATGTCCTGATAGAATTACATCAAACCGTGTTACGGTGATGCCACAATGTTAAAACAGCTGGACACTTTGGCTTTCTTAAGACACTACACCTGACCAGACAACAGTTCTGGTGGCCGCAAATGCGGGTCAGTATTGAAGAATACATGAAGAGTTGTCCGGTCTGCGCTAAAACCAAATCAAGACCAGGGAAACCCCTTGGCCTATTGCAGTCTGTAGCTAGCCCCAATAAACCATGGGAGGAGATAGCCATGGACTTTATTGTTGAGCTCCCCGAAAGCAATGAAAACACCGTGGTACGGACGGTCATAGATCTCTTTTTGAAGCAAGCTCATTTTATATCGTGCAATGGACTACCGTCAGCACGGAAGCTAGTTACATTAGTCATTCAACACATTTACTGCTTACACGGAGTGCCTCGCCGAATCATCTCCAATAGGGGAGTGCAGTTTATGGCATGCTTTTGGAGGAACTTCGTCCAGGCAGTAGGATCGACACAGGGTCTTAGTTCAGCGTTCCATCCTAGCACCAACGGTGCGGCGGAGAGAGCCAACGCTATGGTGGAACGCTATCTAAGAAGCTACATCTCTTTATCAACAGACAGACTGGTCATCCTTATTGCCATTCGCTGAGGTTGCCTACAATAACGCGGTGCATTCCAGTACCGGACTCACCCCTTTCCAAATAGTAACAGGACGTGAGTTTGTTGCTATTCCCGAACTGGAATCGCCCGATGCTGAGGTGAGCCCTAACGACTGGGCTACAAAGATACGGGCCTTGTGGCCACAGGTTAGGAAAGCACTAAACAAGGCGGCAATAGAATACAAGAACCAATCTGATAAAAAATGAGCGGAGCTAAAGCCGCTGAGAGTGGGAGATAGAGTATATCTTTCCACCAAATACATAAAATTAAGGGTACCCAATCGAAAGCTGGCACCAAATACTTAGGCCCTTTTCCAGTGAGTAAAGTCATCAATCCTGTCACTGTTGCCCTCAAGCTACCACCGCTGCTAGGCAAGATCCATCCAGTCTTCCATAGCAGCCTGTTGAAGCCAGTGACGGCAGTTAGACATACACCGAGTCCTCCTGATCCTATACATGATGAGCACTACAAGATAGAGGAAATACTAGACACCAGAATCCACAGGGGGAAACTGCAATATCTAGTAAGGTGGAAGGGATATCCATATGAGGAAGCATCCTTGGTACTCGCGGGAGATGTTAAAGCTGACCGACTGCTACGGCAATTCCATAGGAAGAACCCATTAAAACCACAAGCCGATATTAACACATCTACTTTATATCTTTCAGACGACCCCGTGGTAGAGGGGAGCCGCCTGTCGAGCCCGAAACCCTGCTCGACAATGCAGGGACGGGATGGCAGAGTGGTGGAGGATACTGACCAACAGAGCGTGTTAAGGGATGCACCTATTCACGAGACTGGTGGTGGTGGCACTGTAGATAGGCGATCGATTGCGGGGCTGCTGAGCATCGGGATTAGGGCTCGGGCAACAACTCCTGCTGGGACGAGACCATTTGGCAATGACTGCTGCTGGCGAGAGACAAAAATGGGGGCGCGAAGATGGAGTTCGGAGAAGCTGCCGCTGTCAGAACGGAACGCCGAGAGACCGACGCCCTGGGGAGGCGGAGCCAGAGCAAACGCCCTCCAGCTGATGGGCGCTTCCCCAATCACACGGAGCCGGGGAGGGGTGGGATAATAAAGGGTGCTACGAGGCAGCCGCTTGTAGCGCCAATTTTGAAACGTTTCGGCTCAGTGTCTCTTCGATGTTACAAACGGCATTAAACCAGCATTGCCCCCCCCCGACTACATGCCTGCTGTGTTTTCCTGTTGTTTTCAGCTAATTCAAGAGAAGGAGCTGAGACATATATTCTTGTACTTAAACAGTCTTAATTAAAAGTCCAAAAGGAAAGAAAGAATATAAAGAAGAATACAATAGATTTTCTTCTTCTTTCCCTTACTAGCTTATCCACTCTATGGTGGTGGACACAGCTGTCGTCTTCCCTCACCGCCTGGGTTTGCCTTACAAGCGGGCATTGCGTACTTTGATGGCGGATTACCTCAAGCGCATAATTCAGGATAGCGGTAAGATTTGGGGACAAAAACGAGGACCCAGATTGTTGGCTGCCATATGCTGACTCTGTAAACTGCTTTGTTGTTGTTGTTAGTTGCAAAGTTGTGTCCGACCCATTGCGACCCCATAGACAACTTTCCTCCAGGCCTGCCTGTCCTCTACCATCCCCAGGAGTCCATTTAAGCTCACACCGACTGCTTCAGTGACTCCATCCAGCCACCTCATTCTCTGCTGTCCCCTCCTTCATTTGCCCTCAATCGTTCCCAGTTCCCAGTAAACTGCTTAGAGAGGGTTATAAAGCACTTGTCAGGGTTCCAAGTAATACACCCATAGCAAAGAGAACTCCGAGGCAGGCTAGTTCCTCAAAGAATACATTTATTGGATATATCATATTGGCACAGGCTGGTGAAAACCGACTCTGAATGTTCCCACGGTTTTCACCTAATTAAAAGTAAACATTTTGTCCCATCCCCAAACAACCAGTCACATGGTCCAATCGGTGCCGTCCGGTTGCCTGGTAACTTCACTCCTCCTCTCTCCAGCTACCTGTGGGAATGTCCTTGGTTCTCAGGAGAAAGTATTTTGTTCTGGCTACAAACACCCCCTCCCTCCCGCAATCCCTCTGCTCCAGTGTGGCAACACTGAAGTTCCAAAATGCCCTTGGTCAGGTCAGCTTCAGGGTTGAGAGCACTGTGAACCGGTATATAAGTCTATGTGCTATTGCTATTGATGGTCATTTGCAGTGTGTCCTGCGATCACTTGACTGCAACTTAACAGTATTTTTTGCTGGAAACCAGTGTTTGTGTCCAGTTTCCAGCAAAAAATGCCCATTGCAGACAATGGATTTGCTTAACAATCACTATGTTCTCTTACCTACTATGTTGTTCAGTTAACAACTGCAGTTTCACTTAACTACCACTGCAATCAAATTTGCTGCATTTTGAAAAAACAATTAACAGATTTTTAAAGTCTACCTAATATATTAGTCTTCTTAACTTGGAGACAATTGGGCACCCCAGTGTAATAGCTAATTCCCCCTCCTTCCCATATGGCAGAGCCCCAGATTTTTAGAAAAATTGTTAAAATATGTTTTCCCCCTCCGGGTATTTGAGTCTGGTTGAGTGGAGTTCCCTTTTGCTCCTTTTACTATTGTGTTTGGTGCCATTTTATATATCGGGTATGCTTTTTAATGTTATGTGTTTATTTTGGGGTTTTGCTTGTTTTCTGCTGTACGCTACCCAGAGTACAGCCACCGTTCAAGTTAAGTGGACCTATAACCCATGAAACAAGTAAATAAATGGCTTCTTATTTTTCTGATTGCTAACAGTGGAAGGTCATGACTCCAGTGAGGATGCCCGAGCCTGCATGGAGCTGATGATCTGGAAGATCAAGGAAGATGCTAAAGTGAAGCGATGATCCGCCTCCACACTGCTGCTGTTCTCCTTTGCGTTTTTGTCACAGGGCAATAATGAAGCCCACAGAGAGACACCCATAGCCAGCAGCAGACCCTTCCCAGACTTTTCCCCGCTCGGCCCACAGGTGTCCCGAGGACTTGGGAGCAAGCAGCTCCTTCCGCTGGCAAAGTGACGGGCTGTGTCTGAATGCCAGGCATTGTAGTTGAGGCGAAACATATTGTGACCCAAGGTCAGCTATACCCTGTGGTGGGGAAAGGTTTGGAGATAGTCTCATCGTAGAAGATGGGAATGACTTCAAGAGGCACTGAGTTCCACTATTCCCTCTCCCTGCCCCTCCTATTTATGGACTTTAAAAGCTAGCTTTAATTTACATTTTTTATTTAATTTGGGGGGTCTTGTGATTGGTCTTGGGCTATACAGGAATGGCGGAGAAGGTGGTCACGGACTCTGGCCTGTCAAGAAAGCAAGCCGAAGAGATGATGAAGGGATGCTGGCTTCCACTGAGGGAGGGAAGCCAGGAGCAGAGTTGCCCAGGTGGAAGGAACCTGGCCCAAAGAAGCTGTCCTGAAACACAGGAAAGGGAGAAGTGTGCGTTGCAGAGGAGATCACTGACAGAAAAATAAAGCTATAGAAAGTTAGGGATTTCAGGCCTCGGGCCATGACTCCAGCAGTGCTTTCCTGCTCAGGTCTTGACTTGAAGAGACCAGAGACAAGCTGCTACCAAACTGCAGGAGACAGTTCAGATGGCTTGGTCTAGGCTGCTGGTAGCATTTCATTGAAACTACTGAGGGGGCAAAGCTGCCCCCTGATCCCTCCCTGCTCAGGAGTTATTCAAACTAGCTGCTTCTGCCTTTGGTAGGACTTTCGCCTTTTCTGGCTTGAAACCTAGGTTCTGTTTTCTGCAAACGAGGAGAAAGAGGCAGGATCGTGTTCGGCACTGATCACGTTTTCAAAAGGGCTGTTACTCAAATCGGGAGGGAGAAGTGACGGAGAAAATTCATAACTTGCTCCCAAATTTTCCCTCTGGTTAAACTTGAATATTTTGTAGTAAGACTTTCCAGGGGCTTTTTTTTTCTTCTTCCCCTTCCATCTCCAATGGCTTTTTGTAGTTGCCAGTTGAGCAGTTGTGTACAAAGTCTCTCGCTCTGGCCACTGAGTTGTTAAAATATAAATATGTGGAATAAATTCTGTTGTCCTGCGGAGAGCTCTCACGCCTGCCTCGCCTGTTTTTCTCACAAGCAACGGGGATGTGAGAGGACCCTGCTAATACAGTGCAGGCTTTTCTGTGCCTCTCAGCATTGGAAGCAGCCCCCCTCCCTCCAGTTGTCTTCCCCCCTCCCCACCAAAAAAGATAATGGCCATTTGCTGGGATTGCTGTCGAGCTTTGTAAACAGCTTCCCACAGGAGGGCTTTAGGCAACTCTGGTTGTGAAGGAAGAGTGCCCGCAATTGACACTTCCATTAAACAACGGCTAGTAACACGGTTCCTTTGTTTTGTCAAAGGCCTTCTCTTTTTATTCAACAGGCACCTAAGGCACCTAACTTGCCTTGTTCCAAGAGTCCGAAGCCCATTGCTGGAGTTTGTGAAAGATATCCCTTGGGAGGGATTTGGCTCAAATCTGTACATACTGTACAGTGTATGTTGGGTACTTACGTTGGTGGTCTAGTTAGGGCTATTGGGTGCTGTGTGAATAGCCAATTCTCAACCTGTGACCTGTCTGTACTGGCCTCTAGAAGGGCTGTGTGTTTCAGGCATGTCTGCGCAAAGGCTCCGTTGGGCCTTCGCTGTCAATTTTTACCTCATGCTAATCTTTTCTGACATGACAGTCAGTGAAAATGAGGTGCCTCACAGCAGCCAGGACCCAACCCATTAAGCACCCTTCAGATTGGTGGCATATGAATCCTGCCTTGATGGAAGATGGGAACGTATACATTTTTCTTTTGACGGCACTGGTCGTCAAAAGCCCCAGGTGGGTTTGGAAAACGAGAGGTGCACAAACCTGTCAGAACTTTTCCTGGGAAAAAGTAGGCAAGATTTCCCCTGCAGAGTATATCAAGCCCAGTGGGAGCATTTTAAAATGCCAGGAAATTCATGTTCCTATTAGATCTGGGCCAGTGTTTTTCCAACCTTGACAACTTTTAAGACTTGTGGACTTCCAACTCCCAGAATTCCCCAGCCAGCCACAAGTTGAAGTCCACACAAGTCTTAAAGTAACCCAAGGTTGGACACCCTTGGTCCAGGCAGTGAATCCTTGCCTTGGGATCTGGAGGAACACTGCCAGAGTTCCCATAAACACACAGAGAGGCTGCACAGCTGACTGGTTTGCCACAAGCATGTTTTATAGATGTGACAGATAAATAAATAATGACAAATACATGGGCAAAGCAGAACTTCTAACAAGCCTTGCTTTGGTACTTTAAAAAATGGTGGTTGAATCCATCTTCTTTGCTCAGATATGCCCGTGTTTACTTGGCATAAGAGTAAAAGTAATGGTTTAAGGAAAGGAAGGCCCTTGGGGTGAGCGGATGATCTATTTAACCAAAGGAACGTATTTGCACTACAAGCTTGTACCAGGATTAATACAGATTCATCCATCATTATCAGAGAGCTCAGAAGCTCCCTAACCTCCAAGAATGGAAGTTCCCTAGACGCCAACATGATGGTTAATCTCCTTTCCCCCCACTTTCTGCTATCATTTTGATGTTTGCTGCTCACCAGCCAGTGCCTGCCCTTTGCTCTTCCTTCACAGGCAAGATTTGAAATGATTCCTAAGTATTTAGACTTAAGAAAAACAGGATCTCCTCCACCCCCGGCCAACCCATTTGGGGCTGCAACTCTTCTCTGATTGTAACACTGTACAGTAATAAAACTCTAGACTTTGTATACGTACAACTGTATACCTGTTAATACTGTTTTATATTTTTTTTTAAATAAAGCAAAATATGACATCCCTACATAGCGTGATTATAAGGGTTCAGGGGCTAGGATTTGGGTGGACTGTTTCAAAAGGGTAACTTTTAAAATTATCGTTAATAAGAAGCTTGTGCTCCAAACCCAATTAGTTATTTTCACTGAATGTTTGGGATTTGTTCATCTACTGAAGCTGCTTCTCCCCGTGAGTGTTAAGTCACAGTGAATTATGGTTGTGCAGAACAACTCCAAGTATGTTTTGAAATGTAATGTGGTTTTGTTTGATGGAGAAACAGGGTGGACAAGGGCAATTTGCATATTTATGTATCCATCCATCCATCTATCCATTTATCCATCTATCCATCTCCATATCCCTCTATCCATCCATTCATCCATTTATCTATCTGTCTATCTATCTATCTATCTATCTATCTATCTATCTATCTATCTATCTATCTATCTATCTATCTATCTATCTATCATCTATATCTCTCATCTATATCATCTGTCTGTCTGTCTGTCTGTCTGTCTGTCTGTCTATCTATCTATCTATCTATCTATCTATCTATCTATCTATCTATCTATCTATCGGTAGTCCTTGACTTACAACAGTTCATTTAGTGACCGTTCAAAGTTAAAACAGCACTGAAAAAATTGACTTGCGACCATTTTCCACACTTATGAACTTATGAACCATTGCTGGGTCCCAGGGTCATGTGATCCCTTTTGCAACCTTCTCACAAGCAAAGTCAATGTGGTAGCCGGATGCATTTAACAACTATTACTAACTTGTCAACTGCAGTGATTTACTTAACAAATTGTGGCAAGAAAGGTTGTAAAAATGGGGCAAAACTCACTTAACAACTGCCTCACTTAACAAACAGAAATTTTGGGCTTAATTGTGATCGTAAGTCGAGGACTACCTGTACCTGAACAGAGATACAGACTTTTCTCCTCATTCAGATGGAGATCTTGAACAAGAGGCTGAAACAGTCTCTACCGCAGCAGCCTGGGAGATTAATTGGGTTTGAATGTGAAAGCAATCCAGTGGCTGATGTTTCTGTAACGTTCGATCTATCCTCTTCCAGTACATCTTTTTGAAATAAACTTTGGGATGATCTTGCTTTCTATTGGCAAGAGCTTAACAGTGGTATTTGGGAAGTGTATGTATGTGTTTTAAATGGCTTACACAACTGTTGTATTGAGTTTCCCATTTAACAGCAAGAGGAGGCTGCATCACACTTTTCAGCTCTTGTGGTTGTGTAATTTGGCAGCGTATGTGAGGGGATTCTCAAGTGTTGGCCACAAAGTGCCTGTCTCTAAATCAGGGGTCTCCAACCTTGGCAACTTTAAGACTTGTGGACTTCAACTCCCAAAGCTGGCTGAGGAATTCTGGGAGTTGAAGTCCACAAGTCTTAAAGTTGCCAAGGTTGGAGACCCCTCCTCTAAATAGTAAACGTGATCTCTAACTTTCAAATGCAAAGTTTGTCTGTCCCTACTGCATTTGCAAGCCCACCTGCTCATAAGGGCCCTTAATTTCTCCTCTGGGTCTGGTCCTGCTGGCATTCCTGAATATTCTAGTAAAATAATTCTACGGGATTACATTTCATGATCCATTTGATGTGGATCTGGACTAGGAATGGTGATTCTTACTGGTAATTAATCTTTCATTGATTCATTATATCCCAACACCTCACAGAAAATATATCTCTGCTGTAAAAGTGCATCCAGGTTTGATCTCAAAAGTAGAGTATTATTGGCATCTGACAGTGTTGCAACAAACAAGTGGAGTTGTAATACTCCTGCTGGACCAAACCAAAAGCTGTTGAATTTAGTATTCTGTGGATTCTCACAGTGACTAACTTGCTGTACTCAGGAAGGTCCTTGGGCACTTGTATTTAAAATCATCTGTCTCTGATTCTAGCGGTTGATTGATTGGAAAGAGCGAGCAAAATTATCTATCAGCAATGGCCCAATCCTCCATGAATTGTGCCTATCTATTTCAAAATAAATTGGTGGCTATTGCCATATTTGGTAGCTGTGAATTCAGAAGCTGTGGCAGTGGTAGTGTTTATACAATGAGCTAAACTCTTAATAGCTGATCAGTGTTTTTAATTTATGTTTATCTAATTTAAACACTGCCCATCTCGCTGTCCAAGTGGGCTGTTTACAGATAACAAACTATAAAATCATATGAAAAAGACAGAATGAAAAACTAAAGTGCAATAGAATAGAATAGAATAGAATAGAATAGAATAGAATAGAATAGAATAGAATAGAATTTTTTATTGGCCAAGTGTGATTGGACACACAAGGAATTTGTCTTGGTGCATATGCTGTCATTGTACATAAAAGAAAAAGATACGTTCATCAAGAATCATAATGATAGTCATAGGGTACAAATAAGCAATCAGGAAATAAGAATAAAAAATGCAAGTTGAAAGCTGGAGAGAGCACCCACAAGCTACCAAGTCATCCCAGGATTCTTTGCCACTCCTCAGTTCTCACACTCATCGGCAAAATTACCGTAAGTCTTCACACTCTTCCAAAAGGCTAGGAATGGGGGACAAGATATTTGTAGGGCGGGGACAATAGCAATAGCTTTAATACAGGGGTCTCCAACCACCAGTCCGTGGATCGTTACTGGGCCACAGCATGCCAAAACCCGGGCTGCACAAACAAACAAAGCCCCATCCATGGAATGCAGGCAGCATGGGAAAAAAAAACCCTCCTGGTCTGTGGAAAAACCTCTCTACGGAACCAGTTCCTTGGGGGCCACTGCAGGTTCTGACAGGTTCTGGAGAATTGGTAGCGGAAATTTTGAGCAGTTCAGAGAACCGGCAAATAGCACCTCTGGCTGGCCCCAGAGTTGGGTGGGAATGGCGATTTTGCAATATCCTTCCCCCAGGAGTGGGGAGGGAATGGGGATTTTGCAGTATCCTTCCCCTGGATGGGGTGGGAATGGAGATTTAGCAATATCCTTCCCCTGCCATGCCCACCAAGCCACACCACGCTCACCAAGCCACGCCCACAGAACCGGTAGTAAAACAATTTGAATCCCACCACTGGGACTTTGGTTTAATAGATAACTCCTGGCTTCTGAAACATAGACTTACCATTTATTTTATTTATTTATCCCACCTTTATTATTGTTTTCATAAATAAAGCAGCAAACATACCTAATTCTCCTTCCTCCTGGTTTCCCCACAACAATAAACCCGTAAAGTGGATTGGCTGATAGAGAGTGACTGGCACAAAACCATCCAGCCAGATTTCATGTTGAAGTGGGACTAGAACTCACAGTCTCCTGATGATTGGCCCAAGGTCACCCAGCTGGCTTTTTATACCTAAGAGGGGACTAGAACTCACCATCTCCTGGTTTCTAGGCCAATACCCTTAACCATTACGCTAATTAACTTAGTAAACAGTCCTGGGGTCTGGTGTGGGTTTGTGTGTGGGGTGAGATTGCCGCTATTCACCCTGTCCGTGGTGTCCATCCTGCCTCCCCTAACTGCCATGAAGCTAACATGTAGGCTGGTGTGCTACTTGAGTGACAGTTGTTGCCTGCACTGACTTTGTGGGGGAAGATCAGAAATGAGACAACACTGCTTGATCCTCACAACGAAGAAGCTGTTGCTTTAACGTGGGGTTGTTTTTTTTGGGGGGGCAAGTGCCTTCTCGGTTCTCTGCAGGGGTCAGGGCCTGATGCCCCCCCGACCCCAAACCTTATTGTCTCAGTTATTGATCAAGGTGCTGAGCTTCATTCGGGACAAATTTGGGAAGGGTGAAAGATGCATGACTGTTGGGTGTCCTGCTGAGCTATTGACAGATGTGTCAAAAGCAATTTGTACTTTGTGATGTCCGTGATGTTGCTAGGCCTTGTCCCAGAGTGAAAAGCTTAACTACTAAATAGACAGAAGGTGCTTATTTTATCCATAGGGTATATTGTTCCACCTTGCTTCCATCAATTTGCAAGAGCTTGTCATGGGATTACCAAGAAAGGACAATTAGTCCCATTTTCCTGGTCTTTATAGCTGCATTAAAGTTTGGTTTCAGCCCCTCTCATCAGGCAAGCTGAAATTTTGGACTTGTGTTGTGAAAGGCTTCCTGTGCTGGTTATACAGCCAAAAAATGGAGGGTGGGAGGGCAAGATAACCTACCACTTGCCTATATCAGGTTTGATTGGCAAACTCAATTACAGTTTGTTGAACCCTTTTGACAGTGGTGGGTTTCAAAAATTTTTATTACCGGTTCTCTGGGTGTGGCTTGGTGGGCGTGGCGTGGCTTGGTGGGCATGGCAGAGGAAGGAACTGTAAAATCTCCATTCCCACCCCACTCCAGGGGAAGGTTACTGCAAAATCCCCATTTCCTCTCAATCAGCTGGAACTTGGGAGGTAGAGAATAGATGGGGGTGGGGCAGTGGTGAAATGTAAAATTTGTTACTACCGGTTCTGTGGGCGTGGCTTGGTGGGGGGGGGTTAATGTGACTGGGTGGACGTGGCCAACTTTTTTTATTTTTACTTTTAAAAGCATTTTTTCTACAACCTTAAGAGGTTGCAGAAAATGCTTTTAAAAGCCTCTGACGATCAGGCAACTCAGCTGGGATCATCAGAGGCTTTTAAAAGCATTTTTTTTCTACAACCTTTTTGGCCAAAGAGGTTGTTATAAAAATGCTTTTAAAAACCTCTGACGATCCCAGCTGAGCTGCGCGATCATCAGAGGCTTTTTTTTTTAACTTTTAAAAGCATTTTTTCAGCTGAAGAGGTTGTCGAAAAAATGCTTTTAAAAGTAAAAAAAAAGCCTCTGATGATCGTGCAGCTCAGCTGGGCAGGGATTTTTACTACCGGTTCTCCGAACTATTCAAAATTTCTGTTATTGGTTCTCCAGAACTGGTCAGAACCTTCTGAAACCCACCTCTGCCTTTTGAATTGTCAATATTTCTGCCTAAATATGATCTTAGATGTGATTTGTTCTCCACACATCCTAAAACTAAATGATTAAATGAATCACAGAGATTATACTTGTTTATTTATTGAGGAAA